TATATATAATTACCCATTTATAATATATTTTATATCATTTATTATTTATAATATAATATATATAAGGGAAATTGTCTAAAACTCACCATGTTAGTAAGTTTTTATTTTCCAAAACTCACCTTCCATTAGTGCACCGCTAATGTTTCTTAATAGAGGTGTCTATGTCAGCATAAATAACAATTTTCATGACCAAATTACCCTTGAATGGTGAGTTAGAGGGAAAATGGTCTTTTCCAGTTTTCAATTTTATTTTTTTTTTCATTTTTAGTGTTTTTTTATAATTTCCAATGTTTTTTATAATTTATATTTTTTTACATTTTAAAATTTTCTACAATCTATAAATTTTCTTGTATTTTTTGTTATTTATTTACAATTTCTATGTTTTTCTATAATTTTTGGTGTTTTTCTATAATTTTTGGTGTTTTTTATACAATTTTTATTTTCTGATTTTGTTTTTCATTTTATATAGTTTCTATAATTTGAAAATAATTTTTTTTATTTTGTTTGAAATTTCTATAATTTTTTTTGTGATTTCTGTGTTTTTATGTATTTTATATATGAAAATATTTTTTGCACTTTTTCTTTTTTTTCATGTCTAAATATTAAAATGGTAATATATTAACACCCATTAATTTATTTTGTATATATTTTATATTTTTCTATGAAGGTTAAAATAGTAATATATTAACACCTGTTAGCATGTTTAACGTCGAAGTTAGTGACATGTTGAGTTTTATACATTTTGAAAAGTTGTGGTGAGTTTAAGAGAAATGTTGAAAACTCATGTGAGTTTTAGACAATTTCTCTATATATTATATATATTTATATATCTATTATAATACTTGTTATAAATATAAAAAGTTGAAAAAGCAAAGAATCAAACATGTCGAAAACAAAAACTAGTCAACTGATGGTATTGATCTAATTTCAGTTCAAGAAATTGTAAAAACCGATGATACCAATTCAATTTCAAAAGGGGTTAAGTACTTAAACACCCCTATGGTTTAGCAAATGGACACAAATTTACCCTACTGTTTAAGAAATTACTTAAAGTACCCCGTACATTTCTAACAATTGACAACCCTGTTAAATATGGATGGAAAAGGTAAAAATACCTTACTACCCTTCTATTAAGCCAACCTATTACCTTTCACCACTGAATAATAAACTATAAAAAAGACACCGAAGGAAGGAAACTGCTGCAAATCCCGACCTCATCTTCGCTAACCATTGCAAATCCTGACAAAACATTAGGGTAAGTGGGTGAATTCATTATAGTTGGTGTTGGATTTTAATCTCATTAAAGATTAAATCCAATGGGATTTAAATGATCAATTACATGAAAAACACACCTGCACACATGTCTTGAAAAATAGTTTTTTCTCTTAGTAAACCAGTTTTTAACTTGTCCCGCATTGGAAAATTACAAAGACTTGTTTTGAGTTTTCAAATAGTAGCTTATTTACACTCCTTATAAATAAAAAGGAAGTATGGAGGCTTGCTACCGCGCAACATGCATGCACGCGTGTGTGCGACGTAATGAGGCACACTTTGCTTGCACCCACGTGACTCACGAAGGGCGGCTTTGACTTTTGGTGCAATGTTGGTCATTGATGTTTCAATGGCCATGCCTCAATGAGGCACTATTAAAAGTTAACGGTCATTAACTGTTAACTACCATTTAACAATCACAATTTTAAATTGTGACTGTTCAATGAGACTTTTTCTGAACCAGCACCTTCCTCTTCTCCATGATTCTTTAGGAATTATTTAAGGAGCATGAATCAAGCAATTGCACACACAAGTTTTCGAAATCACTCATGTCTTTCTCAGTCTGATATGCTACTGTCTCACATAAGGTTTCTTCGGAGACTCTTCAACTTTGTTGGTTACAAACTTTTGCCTAAGGCTCTATTGTATCCTGGGAACGGATTTGCCTGTAACCTAACAGCAAATTTAGTGGAATTGAGTGGGGGCAAATAACGTTCTAAATACAGTGTCTTCAGACATGCCTCAGAGTTTCTCCTCCAAGTTTCAATAACCCCAATTTTCCAACAATTGGTTTAGAACTATCATTATGAGGGTGGAGTTTCGATTTCATGATCCGTGAGTATCAATTTCTTTAAATGGAGCTCTATGTATCTCTGCCACCAAGGGTGATAACCGACCCATTTTCTTAGGAGAACAAAGGAAGTATTCCTCCTATTCATTCTCCATTGGAGTAGTGAATTTCCATGGGTAGAAGGGTGAATTTTCAGAGGAGCATAGAGGTACCCTTGTTCCTTTGATTACAACTGCAATGACGTCTTTGTTGACTCATCTAGCTCGAGCAATCTAACCTAGTTGCAACATCTTCCACATCTGATATGTTGTTTCCAACCACAACCCTTTGTGTTGATCTGTAGAAAGTGCAACTGCCATAACTGCACGCACCACCTCTGTTCTCACCCCTAATACCCATTTTGTTGATGACGATGCTAGGGATAGGGAGCTTTGAGCATGCCAATGTTCAATAAGATTTTTCTCAAACTAGAGCATGGTTTTTAAAAACAAACCGGTGACCGAACCGATCAGGGGTCTGATTAGCAGTTCGAATGGTCCGATTGTTCAACCCAAACGCCTGGCCCGTTCAAATGGTTAATCGGCCGATTCAATGATTTGCTGACCGAAATCAATGATTTTGGGGAAAAAAACGATTTTGGAGGAAAATGGAACCGGTCAGGTGATCGATTCCCGATTTTTCTAATCCGATCCGGTTTTGAAAACAGTGCATCAGAGAGGATTGTATTGTGTATTGTGTATTGTGGAAAGGTTAGAGAATCCATGGAGTACTTCTCATCATTGAGGTCTGTACATCAGATAGCCATCAACCCTGCAAAGTTCTTGCTAGACTTGGCAATTGGGCAAGTTAATGACGTAAGTGTCCTAAAAGTCTTGGGGACGCTTCAAGTAACCCCTAAATTTGAGAGAGACGTGGTTAAAATAAGTTCATTTTCTATAATATTTGATTTTTTCATTTTCATTTTATGAATTACAAAAGCAATGACTAAAAGGACATAGATGTTGCTTATCTTGTGATGAAATATCAATATATCATTATGTACTATTGAAATGCAAAAGTTTGGGTGAAACCTAAAGAAAAAGATGCTGAAGCTGTTGGGTTTTGTTTTGAGAAGTTAAATATCAATAAAGGACAAAATAGACTGAAAAGGTAGTCTTGGATTTAAAAAAAAAAAATTATATAAATCAAGGACCTGGATTTGCTCCTCAGCACCTCAAAAGTACATCCATCGTGCATTGAGAACATCTCTCGTAAATAATAATTAATAAATATGAAAGATGTTATAATGCATAATAGGATGTGCCTATGAAGCACCAGCTGTGAGGAGCAGATCCGGTGTCAAAATCACGTGACATTTTAAGTAATTCCTCAACCAGTAAGGTAAATTTATGTCCATTTGTTGAACCATTGCGGATGTTTAAGTATTTAACAAGCCTAACCATAACCCGGTAGGTTTTGACGGTGTGGATTTTTCACTTAACCCGATCCACTAACATCCCTGACATGGTTCAATTTCAATCTCTATTTTAAACGGTTACTGTAAAGGGAACGTGTTATGGCATGTGTAAATAAAGTGAAAAAGCAGAAATATAAGCTACTCATTTAACTCCTTATGATCTGCACCAAAATCAAAAGCAAGTATTACAGGAACTCGTATTCGACCCGCTCCATTTTATGTCAGCGGTTGTGTCCGAAGTCCGGATATTTCATCATTTCGTGGGCCGGAAACTACAGTGGGTCCATTTAGCATCTTGGGTCCGGGACCGGGCTTTGAATTTGACCAAAAGCCACCGCTCACGAATGTCAAGCCAAGCACAAGCGGTAAACAAAAATATAAATACGTATGCGCACACGTACACAAGTCCATATTGTCCTCCTCTTTAGTCTTTACACCCATTCTGCCACCCTTGCCTCTCTCTCTCTCTCCATATATATATATATAACCGCGTTATTGACGGTGCCGCAGAAAGCCTCGTTGCGCTTCTCCGCAACAGAGCCCAGGAAGGAAAACCAGACAAAGGAAACGAAAAAGATGTCTGAAACTAAGAGCACGATGCAATCTCTCAGGGAATGGGTCGTAGAGCATAAGCTTCGAACTGTTGGTAATTCATTCATCACTTCATATTTGTTTGTAGTCGTATCTTTTTCCCGAATCTGGGATTTTCTGATTTTTTTTTTTTATTTTTCTTGTATGATTTCGATGCATTTGATTCAAAAAGGGTGCCTTTGGCTTAGCGGTATAACGGGTTCGATCGCTTACAATTGGTCTCGACCCAACATGAAAACCAGCGTTAAGATCATTCACGCTAGGTATTTCTCCTTTATTTTTCTCTCTTTTTATGTTTTCTTCTCTTCCCCTCCCCCAGGATAGCTTTTGTTCTCGTTTCGGATATCTATCCTGTAATATGCTTGTAATTTACTGCGTATATTGTTTTTTTGTTGATCTATTTCATCTTGTTTCTTTTTCTTTTTTCTTTTTGCAAATATGTAGAAACTATAAATGCCAGGGAAAAGGAAAATAATCGTCTGATTGGGATTTAGGGTTTGGGCTTCCGTAGATTTGATTATAGATTTAAGGAAAGGTAGTTTGATACTTGTTAACGCCAAAATTGGAATTCAGATATATTTTTTTTGTTTAATTATGAATCCAGATATGTTTTATTGAGAAGCAATACATGGTGTAATCCAATAATCCTTAACGCAATATTGGAAAGTAATTATTTGGATTTTCTATTTTGTTAGAAGTTAAAATGATTAATAAACCCAAATACCAAATTATCTTTAATTGGTGATCTACTTTTCCGAAGCCACTCATCATTCATTAAGAATTGTTAGAGTTCTGTTCGTTTTTTTTTTTAATTAAAAAGGGATGCAAAAACAAATCCTAACAGCTGAAGGAATGTTCTTTCTGTCCCTTGTATTGAGACAAGTGTATGTTAAGCGACAAAATAGTTAACAATTTCAAATGGCATTTGCAGTTTCCTTGTTCTAGTTTCCTCAAGCCAGCCGCTTGGTCTTCATTTCCCCAGTTGATCTAACTTTCTCTGGCAGTCCTGAACAGTGATTTAAAAGGCGTGCCTAGGCGCATTTCAGGGTATGTGCCTCGCCTAGGTCCTAGGCACAGCCCTTTCAAAAGGTGTATGCCTGGTGCGCCTTTTGAAAATTTGGCGCTCTTTTACTTTTTTTTAACATAACGGCTGGCTTAAAAATTTGGCGCCTTTTGAAAAGTAATTATAGTTTTAATTACTTTTTTTGAAAATTCTGCGCTCCGAGAACCCCCAATTTGGTAATGTTGTTCATTCATTCATCCTAATAAAATGTCTTCTTCAAAAGCAATTAAAACTATAAAATCATTATTTTTTGTGTGAAAACTAAGAATTTAAGACCTAATGTGCACTTGTTTGGGCTTGCCTTGAGGGGTGTGGCACAAAGGCGGCTCGTAGAATCAGTAATGTAATTTTTTTTACATTACATTACCTACTTGAAGTAATGCAATTGAGTGAAAAAAGAGATTAGAGGTTTTACATGCTTGAAAATGTTTTATATGTTTGATTTTATTTTATATTCTCATTTTAATATGCTTTACATCTTATGTTTATGTATTTTAATTTTAGATAATAGGTTTTTTAAAACATTATTTTAAAATTTAACTTTATATTTTTTAGTAATATTATGTTTAATATATTTTGCTTTTTTTTGAATTTTTTGGCTTTTTTTTTGAATTTTCTGACATTTTTTTGATTTGTTAGTTTTTTTTTTTTGTATTTTTGTGCCTTGCTCCTTAGGCGCAAATTGACCCCTGCACCTTTTCTGCGCCTTGCGCTTTTAAAACACTGGTCCTGAATGCTTTGATTCCATGGTCCAACAGACCCACTTTCTTTCTGACTCTGCTCACAAGCAGCCCAACCCAGTCATTCTGTTCAATTCTCTTCTAAGTATGGGCTAGCATCTGCACCTGCTCTCATCACCGATTACCCCATATCTACTATTTTCTTCCACCTAATGGATAGAATAGTGCTGGTGTGAAATATCATTCAAACTCTAAATTCATTCCTTGAGCCTATTTCTTATTGTGACCTTGGGCTTTATTTTTTTCATGGGTCTGTTTAGCTTTAAGCTTGTCTTGGTTACATATGATATGAGGACATAGGAGTAGTGGATATTAGATGCACTAATTACGAATTTATATTGTTAAGTATTTAGGGATGGGATGGTTGTAATAAACAAAAGCAATGTAGGCAAGTTCATGATTCTTCAGTTTATCACAGTTATTTGATGATCCTTTTTTTTTGTGATGACCCTTTTTTTTTTATCATGGTAGACTCTCTATATCGATCTTATCAAATAGAGTATACAATTCTTTAATACCTGCAAGCACGACAACTCTGTAAGATGAACAATTTAAAAAAAAAAAAACTCTGTAAGATGAAGCAATTTTAAAACTTGGGTCGTAGATATTTAGCCAGTAGTTGTGCAACTATCATGGGTTGGGAAGCTGATGAAAGCCCAACCCTGATATCTGAGTGTCAAAACTGTCAGCCTACACCATCACCAAATCTGAGATCACTCATGGTTATTTTACTTGGGTTTAGTTGGGCTAAGGAGCATCATATAAGCTAAATGATGTGATAACATGTGTCCCCCTTCTCTCTTTCCTTTTCTTTTTCTTTCTTTCTTTCATTTTTTATTTTTTTGGATCAACCAACTCATGTATACACATCTAATGAGCCTTGAAGAACTAATATCAGAATTGTTATTTACAGTTCTCCTTTTGGTTATTTAATAAAACTTGAAGTTATTCATAAACAGGATTTTATATGGAATGCATTTGAGTTGTCAGTGTTTTAACTCAAACCCAACCAAACCTCGGGTCAGTTGGCATATCCCAACCAAAGCCTACCTTGTAGCTGTGGCCTGAAGAGGCTGAAGCCTAATACATGGTTGTTTTGTGCCACCAAACTTGACATAGTCCAAATTGAACCCTTTAAGGGCTCATTCAGTTCACTGCTAATATTTATTATTTGGATGTAATGGTTAATGGTATCCAAATTATCAAAAAAAAAAAAAGGTTAATGGTATCCAAAGGACATTTCAACCAGTTAATCTATTATTGGATATACTGGTTTATTCAAAGGACATTGAAGTTAGTAGCACGGCAGGGATCTTACTAAAGGGTTTGATTACGACTAAGTGGCTAAAACAAATTGCTTGTAGTAAATGTTTTTAAGGAGGTTGTAAGCTCCTAAATGGTTGAAGCTGAAGTTGGGTTTATTACTATTATTACTATATTCTCAAATATTTCATTATTTACTTATTTATCCACTAAAAGATAAAACAATAAGGTATTCAGTTTGGCCACTTCAGCCCTAAGTCATATCACATTGAACCTCATAATTACTTATTTCCTCCTTTACCTTGTTGAAGTTGGATTTACCATTACCTGAAAGACGTTACAGATAGCAGTTTGTTAGGATGTAGCAAGTTGCATTGAATTGATATTTTAAAATGTCTGCAATTGAAAAATTGCTCTCTAGAACTGGCTTGAATTTGCATATCATAACTATTGCCAATAAGCTACACATTTTTTAGGCCATGAATATTACCAATCAGTTGATATAATTGGATATAGCATTATAGTTTTCAATTTACACCCCCTTGTTGTTTGCAGTTTTGCCTTTTTTTTTTGTGTTTTGTGTTTTTCTGTTTTTTGGTTACTTTTACTTGAAGAAAAGCGTGTTCTTTATTACCAGTGCAACAAGTTCTGATACCTAAATCAGAAGCTCCTGACTTTTCAGGGGACTATATTCAGGCAAGTCGTACACGGACCATTAATATGCCTTTCTCAACCTTTACGTTGAAGGTCTCTGTAATTTTACCATCTGTTGGAATTTGAAACCTGTTTTCTTTGGAGTTTGGACATGGGTCTGAGTGTCCGCATTATAAAGAAAATTAAAACTAACTCCTAATTATTTGATTTATAAGGTTACATGAAAATAAAAGGGAGACATCCTTGTTAGAGACGAAGAAATTTTACAGTAAGGATATATCTCATTTATCAGTCTGCAACTTAGCTTCATCTATAACTTATGTATGCAAACGATGGAATTCTTTTCCAGTGGATGGCCTTTTCTTGGAATGGTTGATAAGATGGCATATGTTCTGATAATTAAGCTTTTAATGATATAGTACATTTTTTAACCTCCTTATGGACTAGAGTTGAATAAATAGAACATTGAAGATATGGCTTATTTTTAGTTTATTGTTAGTTTTAAGGTGATGTCCTTTTAGACTATATAATTACTTTATGCCATGCAGTGATTGTTTAACTTTATTGATTTTACACAGGCTGCATGCTCAGGCTCTTACATTGGCTGCTTTAGCTGGTGCTGCAGCTGTTGAATACTATGACCACAAGTCAGGGGCCAAGGCAGACCGTTATGCAAAATTCCTCCCCTTGGACCCAAATCCGCACAAAGAGTGAATTTAACACTTGATGATGAACATGCGTCATGCTAGCACAAAAAGACAAAACCTCTTGAAATTTCACATTCTATTGCAGTTTTTAAAATTGTCATATTGTTACTACATGTGATGTTTGATTTATTTGACTTGTGACATTTTCAGCCTTTATTTTAGTCGACCCAGCTGTTTGCTATTAGTTCTCACTGTGGATAAAAGATAGGTAAATAAACCGAGTACTATTGTCACCCAGCTGTTTGATTGAATATGATCTGTAACCTGAGCAACTTGAGTACCATCGTGCTCAGCTGTCTGATTCAATTCAAGAAAAAATAGTGATATGTAACTTTGCTTAGGATTGAATTATAAGAAAAAATAGAAAATCCATCAACTATTCTATGCTGTGGCGCCACGCCTGTTGGCATATGATATGCTTCTGAGTTCTGACTTGACATTATCAATCATCATCACGGATTCACGGTAGCCATGTAAGCTGCCTGGCTTGCATCCGTTACACTGATTGGAAAAGATGCTCAAAGCTCAATTCTGATTGTCACCTATTCGATCTCTCTTTTTCAGGCCATAATATGCGTTAATTGAAAGAGCTCTTGCGCGAATGCCTTGCGTACTGTGCTCTTTGGCCTGATTTTGGTGAATTAGTTGCTTATTTTGATTTCGGTTTACCCTCTTGGCTTCTTGAATCTCCTTTATGGTTGTAATTATGTATTTGTGTTTTGTGGAATATATAAAATCGTGCCCCAGATTAAATCCCCACATGCCCCAATTAACAGATTGGGGTTAGTTTATTTTGCCACCACTTATTTACGCTGCCTAAATGTTGAAGAAAGATGAATAGTGAAAAAAAAAAAAAAAGAGATTTATTCCTCGAGTTTGCAGTAACCTTAATTTATGGGCGTTTTCATAATTTTACCCTTCATGTTTATGTTAATGTTAGTTTAATGGATTTGGACTTAAATGTGTATTTCCAAAAGTTCAGGCATTAAAGTGGTACATTTGAAATTTTAGGTATGAAAGTGAGATTACCTCAAAAGTTTAGGGTATCTATTTGCAATTTATCCAAAGAAGAAGACGATGATGATGAACAAGAACAGAATGACAATAGAAAATTAAAAAGAAAAAATAAATCCAAACAAAACCACCCCACCTTTGTTTTGTAAGTGAAGACTTATAGTTGTGACCTTGTTGTGCAAAGCAAGTTATAAGCAAAATCTTGTATTTGCACTCTTCCCAGATTTAGCTATAAACATAATGATAGATGAAATTAAAAACCTGTAAAATTAGAAATAGAATTAGACAACATAAATGATAACAGTAGAATATATCAGTTTTAGTTATCAATTAAAAACCTTGTATTATAAGGTTTTGTATAGGTTTCCCATCTTTCCCTTCCTTTCCATATCTTTTCTTTCAAACCAAACACATCTTAAGTATCAAGTGTCAATCATAATATGCAATGTTCCACAACCATATTGGGCAAAGAACCAGAAAATGGAGGAGTTCAGCCTTATCGAACCAAGATATGCATGAATGTTTGTATGTTATGCCATCACGGTTTAACCTTATTAAAACAAAATCCTATTTGGTTGGATTGATTTAATTAGAATCATTTGTGTTATTGTTCATTCCATGTTTGTTGAAAATCACTTTTGGAAGAAAAGCACCAGTTTAATATTTTTATTCGATGGGGGCGTTTTCATGTCAAGAATCTTAGATAACAACAAATTGAAGAAAAGGTGTCATTTAGGCTCGGTTTAGGAGTATAAATACATACAAAATATATGGTTTTGCACTCTACATATTTGTATTTGTACTCCTTGCAAACTGAGACAAATCAGATATTTTAACTTTTTTAAAAGCATGACATCAACCTAACGGAAATGGGTGTAGTCTGTAGATGCCACTTTTCCCTGAATTTGGAAACATTTTACCATATATAAAATACAAGGGAATTGCCCTAAAAACACAAGTGAGGTTGAAGATATTTATCATTTTTTTAGGGAAACTATTTTTTATTTTCATTTTTGAGGAAAAGTTTTTAAAAATTAAAAGGGTAAAGTGAAGATTAATACCCTGTAATCTGATGGCAGTCTCAGAATTTTAAAATGTGTGATTGCAGCACCTAAAAGCACTGGGAAGTAACGGGACAATGATGAACAATCAAATGCGTTGACAGAACCAACGGAAAAGCACTGGGAAGTAACGGGACAATGATGAGAAATTAAGATGAAACAAACCTGCAAGTATCTGATTGTCAACAGTGCTGCACTCTTTTGATTTTTCTTTTTCAGAAATCAACATTTAAGAAAATACCGCCATTACTTTGATCCAAGTAGTCCCAAGTCCCAACCATTACACAACAACTCACTATAAACTCAGAAGTCAGAAGTAACTTTTTCTTGTTATGGAGCTCATCAATCACTCTACCAAATCCAACTCATGAAGATCTGATTTGGGATAGAAAATTAAAAGCATAGACCAACAAAACCATACAAATCTATCATTTTGTTTTACTTTCTCAGAGATGGAATTATAATTCCAGCCCAAATCCATTTTCTAAGTTAAAGACAAAACCTTTATTTAATGGAAATCCTTTAAAACCATAAGTTCTTTGTTGTTGGTAAACAAAACCAATGTTCAAAGTTCCGATACAATGCCGTTCCATATCGGGCTCATATCTCTAGCTTATGGAAACCCCATATAAAAGGTGTTTTGGAACTTAACTACTTGTAGGGAGTAGGCAAACTTAAAAGGGAACCCCTTAAGGCTGCGTTTGGAAACGATGCAAATAAGTGTGAATGCAAATATGTAGAGAGTAAAATGGTTTATATAAATTGAAAAATTAGATTAGTTTTGCAATGACAAATTTACCTTCTTACCAAACAGATTTTTAATTGTAATAGATGCAAACATGAATTTCAATAAAGCATATGCTTTTTTTTTTAATCAAAAGCCCACTTGAATGCAAATTTACTTCTTTTTATTGATGTACTTTTACATCTCATTATCAATGTAAATATGCATTGATCTGTCATTTGTCAATGCATAAATGTAGTGTTGCCAAACATAGGCAAAAGTGAACCGAAGTGCAAATTTACCCTAAACAATTTTGAAAGAAATTAAAAAAAGGGTATGAAGTATTGAAACACCTGATACGCCTATTTGTACGTAACAAGGTATCAATACTTTAAACTATACACTAGACTAGTGGTGGGTTTGGGACTTTGTTTACCACTAGTCTGATTCAGTCTTGACTCTTGGGTGTGTTTGTTTTCAGTGTAAACTTCATTGATGTAAAAGTACATTGATAGAGCTCAACACCGATAGGTTTAAAATTTTAATGAACTGCTGAAACTTTTTTTAAAGTAATAATTGATGTAAAACTCAACCAATGGGGAGGTTTACATCGATTTAAACCTTACATTGAAAACAAACACGTAAAAATACAAACCAGGAGTAGAATTTTACACCGGTATGTATTTACACCAAAAACGAAGGTGGCCAAATGCAAACCGATAGTGGAACTTTATGTTGATTCACGCATTTACACCGCAACATTGTGGAATAAGGTGATGAACAATGTCTAAGGGTAATTTTGTCATTTTATAAAAAAAATTAAATTGCACATGCCATCATGTGCTACATATAATGGATGGACTATAGGGTTGCAAGTTGGGCTGGGTTAGGTCGAGTTGAGGCCAACCCTAGTCCAACCCTAATTTTAACCCTAACTAAACTCCTTCAACTCTAACCCAACCCGAAGCCAACTTCAGGTTGGGCCCAACCCAACTTTCTCTAATCTTCCTCTTGGTTTCCAAGAGGACTAGGTAAGTTATTGTATGAGTTATCTGTCAGATCTCTCAGCTCCTAGCTCTCTCTAGTAACATCTACATCCTTAGGTTCCTAAACGAGTTATCTGTCAATTCTCTAGCAATATTTAAATCCTTAGGTTCCCCAATGTCTCTTTGTGCTTTTGCTTTTGCTTTTGCTTTTTTAGAAGATTCTTAACTCTGCTTATCCTTTTGTCTCCTAGCATAGCTTAGATTCTTTGCACTTTCTCTCACCCATTCCATTTTCGAGTCTAGGTCCCAAACAGTGTTCTCATTGGGACGTGGAGGCAGCCATCTCTATTCATGTGAGGACCAGCCATGTCGAAGATATCTACAAAAGGTAAAGAAGTCAATACTGCACCAACTCCTCCACATGCCACAGAGGATATAGAATCCTACTTCTTGCATGCAGTAAATGTGGGTCTCGACGAACAACCTCCAAGTTTTGAACCCATCGAGGAAGTTGAACAAGTAATCAGGCTGACATTAAAAGGACACATCTTCCCGCGTCAACAAGTAAATGAAGAGACTTTGGCCAACTACGTCCAGCAATAATGGAAGACATCGGGGACTATGACTGTTCGTTTCCTGGATGGCAGAAACCTCGAATTCTCATTTATAAACCATAATGACTGCTTTATTGCTCTAGAGGGTGGTCCATGGTTTTACCGGTCAAGTTGGATACTCCTTGAAGAATGGACAGACTCATTTACAGGTACAGTCGAAAAAGTTTGGTCACAGAGAGTTTGGCTCCAAATCTATATGATACCGAGAGGAACGGTAGAGGACAATCGAATCTATTTTCTTGCAAGTGCAGCGAGAGTAGTAGTACCCAATCAAGATAAAATTCCCACAGGCCAACTCTTGAGAGGTCTCTATGTTCGTAAGAAAATTATCATAGACCTCGGACAACCATTGCACCCAGGTCGCTTAATTTTCTACAAGGGCAAACTCGTTTGGCTCCGTTTTTGCTATGAGCAACTGCCTAAAACCTGTGCTAATTGTGGCCATATTGGTCATATTTGGAACAACTGTAAGCATTTGGATCCCTCCATTTCAAACTATAAGAGCTACCTTGAAGGGCGCACCATTGATTTTCCAGGAGAATGGCTTCAGACATATTTCCGCCTTGAAAAACAATTAAACTTGCCAGTTTATTCTACCAGTTCGAAGTCGTTGGGTTCTTGTAAAATTCATCACAGTGAGTTTGGTTTGGATGATGACTCTGAAGATGGTTTTGGGGGTCACAAACGGTGCTGTGTGGAGCAAAAATGTGACCTGCTAGCTGTTGTCTCCGGTCATGCTCCGTCATCGATGATGTCAGACACCGGAGAAGATCACTCACACCAAAAAACCTCTCACCAACAGCAAACACCTATTCGGATGGAAACTCATCCTCACTTGCATGAAGGGCACGCGAATAACCAAGTTGCGCCACGTACGTTGCATGCATGCACCATTCATGAGCAAAACATGACACGTACATTTCATGCACAGGAGCCAAATGGCATTTGCCTCGATAGTCCAAAACCAGCCATCACTGCCCACTATTTCACAAAAACTGGTGGTCTAGGCACCATAGACCTTCTCACCGGGAAGAGGCGACGTGGCAACCCAAATGCTACCACATGCACATGCCAACTAATACACTTCTTGCAATCCGTAATGGTCAAGTACTTGACTTCTTCTCTAGTCAAGCTATACCTCCTGAAAGAGTACTTTCACAGACCATGTTGGTCCTCCCAGCTCCAACACCTTCGCAAGCACAGACTCCAACCACCAGTACCTCTCATTTGATAAGCCAACCGAACACCTTTGAATCATCTCTCCTCCCTAACATGGCTGCATCCACGCTTCCAATGGCTCATTGTGACGAGGACCTGCTCTTCTCCGACACTTCCATCAATCTCCCCTCATTGTTTCCTCCCCATCTGTGTTTTCAGGTACGCTATCTCTTGGTTATCATCATTTATATTTCATTGCTCACATTACTTATCCATTTGCTATCTTTGTTTATTACCATGAAAATCATCTCGTGGAATATTAGAGGAGTCAATGATAATAAAGAAGTCCGAGAGCTAATAAAGTTTGTTAAAAAAGAAAATCTAGACCTATTATTTCTCTCGGAAACTAAACTCTCGGCTGAAAATAGCATCTTGCTGGCAAAAAAAATGTGGTTCGGTAATTTTGTCTTCCAATAAGCATTTGGTCAATCCAATGGTCTCCTCTGTTGTTGGTTAAATTCAACCTTGGTCAACACTTTCCATGTCAATACCCATCTGATCTATTTGCAAGTCCTGAATTATCCTTCCCATACTCCCTGGCAACTACTTCTATTCTATGACCACCCCATCAGACATCTCCGCATAAACTTATGGGATCAATTTACCCAACTCCAAGCAACCTCTAATTCCCCCTGAATCATCATGGGAGACTTAACCGACATTTATAAAATTGATGATCACAAGTCCTTCAAATACAGTCCACCTCATCTCTCCAAGCACTTGCAAAGTTGTATTTGCAAGTTTGACCTAATTGACTTTGATCATGTGGGACCCCAGTTCACTTGGACTAATGGCCAAAAGGGCACATCAAAAGTCCTTGAAAGACTAGATCGGGCCCTAGCTTCCCCCTCTTGGTGGCAATTATTTCCCAATACCCTACTTCGTAACTTCCCAATAACCACTTCAGATCATGGGCCCATCTCAGTAAACACCACACCAAGCTCTCCACAGAGAAAACATCATTTTCACTTCTTGCCATTCTAGGTCGATCACCCTAGCTGTAGAGAAATAATTTATAATTCTTGGAATTAGACCATTCATGGCTCTCCTGCTCACCAAGTCATCACCAAATTGAAATCTTGTAAACTTGCTCTCAAACACTAGAATAAAACTCAATTTGGTCAAATACAAAGCTACATACAGAAAATCATTGACCAAATATCAAACCTACAAATGAGAGCTTTAGCAGAAAGGGAGTAAATAAACCTTCATTCTCTTATTAACCAATATAATTATTGGTTGCTTAAGGAGGAACAATTGTGGAGGGTTAAGTCAAGGGAGATGTGGCTAAAAAAAGGGGGCAAAAATACAAATTTTTTTCATCATACGAAAAAATTCAAGAAAAAAAATAACATTGACCGGCTAAAATGCCCTGATGGCTCTTGGACCTCAAGTCGGGCATCCATAGTCTAGTTATTTAAGGATGCTCTTGTTAAGGTGGGAGGTCAGCTAAAAGACTTTGATCCAACCCTGTTAGACGGCTTAAACCTCCTCAATCTCTCACCTCCACAATAGGCCTCTCTTTTAGTTTCCCCTTCTTTTGAAGAGCTAACAAAGGTGATTAACAAATTCAACCCCCACAAAGCTCCTGGTCCAGATGGTTTTACACCATTCTTCTTTTAGTATTTCTAGAGCTTGATTGGCCATGACACCTACTCTATGGTGGAGAAATTCTATGATACAGAATTCCTACCTAAAGAAATAAATAACACTAATAAGGTTTTTGTTCCAAAAAATAATAAGCCAATGGATGTCTCAAGTTACAAGCCCATTAACCTGTGCAATGTGCTGTATAAAATCATATGCAAATGGATGGTGTTGTGCCTTCAGCCTATTCTGCAGGAATTGGTATCTCCTAATCAATCCGGTTTCTTGAAGGGGAGGCAAATCTTGGATAACATCTTGCTAGTAAAGGAGATTTTACACAAGATGAAACTCTAGTTCTGAGGTAAAAAGTACATTGTAGTCAAATTAGACATGTCCAAAGCATTTGATCGTATGGGTTGGTCTTTCATATATATCACGTGCTCAAAAGGATTGACTTTCCAGTCAAATGGTGCAATTTGCTACACCAGAGCATGTCTACTGCTTCTTTTTCCATCAAAATAGCTGGTGAATCCCATGAACACTTTTCTCTGAAACATGGGGTAAGACAAGGTGACCCCATCTCACCCTACTTATTCATAATAGGTATGGAGGTTCTCACCCAACTTTTGAATAATGTTGTATCATCGGGTCATCGTGAAGGAGTTCAAATTAGTTGGACTGGCCCACCAATTACACACCTCTTCTTTGCAGAAGACTGCATCATCTTCTGCAAAGCTGATGTTGGACAAGTGAAATCCCTCGTTAGTTTACTAGATTCCTTTGAATATATGTTAGGGCAGAAAATAAACTATACCAAATCAAGCATATTTTTCATCCGTAATGTCCCTAGACATCACCGAAGAATTTTCTCCCATATCCTACATATCTCCAACTCTATGATTGGAACTAAATATCTTGACACTCAAGTCGATATCAATACTAGATACCATTCCTCTCACAAAGAAGTTATCGAGAAGATCTCTACAATAACAAAATCTTGGGGCTCAAAACTCCTATCAAAAGCAGGAAGAACCACCTTAGTCAAATATATGCTACAAGCCATACTGATATACTCAATGGCCACAACAATTCTCCCTAAAACCACATGCTCTAAGCTAGAAAAAATGACTAGGGCATTCTAGTGGGGAGACTCAGCCAAAGCCTCTTGACATACAATTCCTTAGGGTAAAGTTTGTCAACCGAAGGATCAAGGTGGGTTGGGTTTTAGAGCATTTAGTGCCATGAACAAGGCAATGCTCATTAAAAAAATATGGCGGCTCTTGACAAACACATCTAGTATTTGGAGTAACCAAATCAGCACTAAATATTTTTCCCACGCATCGTTGTTTGCAACTAAGAAAGGTCATCGTAGCTCTTAATGGTGGCAGCAAACTCACAAGTTGTTAAAACAACTACAACCCAAGCTCTTGTGGTCTGTTCAAAATGGCAGCTCCATTGTGGCTGTTACCGACCCTTGGATTCCTACTTTGCTAGGCAACGTGCCCCAACTAAAAGACTCGATTGATCTTTCCAATACTAGAAACCTGACAGTTTATGAACTGCTAAATACAAAAGATTCTTGGGACCTTCCAAAATTATAGCAGCTTTTCCATGAGTTGACAATTGGTCACGTCCTCAGTATTACTCCAGAGCCTAGCCTTTCGGGTGATCTTATGGTTTGGATGTGTAACACCACATGTATTTATACTATTAAGTTAGCTTATAGGTATTTTACCTCTTTTGGGTGCTCCTCATCCACCACCTTCTTTGATTGGAAGCTTATATGGAAGCTCAAGGTGCCATATAGATTTCAGTTATTCCTTTGGAAGTTTGTTTGGGATGGTTTGCTCACCAAAAATAAATGTATTGCTTGGCTAAATGAACTGGATAGGCTCTGTACCTTTTGCAATGTCCAAGAAGAATCCGAGCATCACCTCTTCTTCCATTGTTCTTTTGCTCGAGCAGTTTGGTGTGAGGCTCAAATTGGGCTAAATCCCTCATCCATGCTTACCCAACCTATGCATATAGTCCTAGCTGATTGGTTCCTCAAGTTAAACACCCATTATGGTAAACAACAGGCTTTGGCAAGCCTAGGTCATTTCAGTATTATTGGTTATCATATATGGAAAGCTAGAAATAAAAGTATATTTGAGAATGAGCTACCGGACCCCAAAAAAGTGGTACACACATTCTTACAATTTTCTTATGAAGAATGCCTAAGTCAACCACAATCCGGTCCAAGCTCTTGGTATCCCCCTACAAGTAGCATGCCCACGCTATTCTTTGATGGTTCTTTTGATCAAGTTTTTGGTAACACAAGACGAGGGCTCCTCATCTGCCACCCCAGCCAATAGTACACTATTGCAGAAGGATCACCCTGTTGGGCAGTCAATAGCTATGATGCTAAAGTTCGAGCCCTTCTAGGAGGACTGCAAAAAGCTTTAGCCCACAACATTTCTCGTTTTTTGGTATTATTCAGACAATGAAGCATTGGTAAATTTTGCAAACTCTGGCAGAGCATCTAAGTAGATTGATTAATTGCATAGGAATCACCTTAAAAGATTAATCTCTTCTTTTGAATCTGTATATTTTGTGCATATTTACAGACCATATAACCAAATGGTCCATCTTTTTGCTTATTTTCATGTAAGGGCCAACTCAAGCTATGCTACAACTCTCGGCTTGTCATTTCATGTATCCTTATCGTTATGAATATAACACTTCTCTTTTCTTTTGCCAAAAAAAAAAAAAGCTATGGGTGGCAAACAATCAAAAGGAGATAAAGAATCAAATATTCAAAAAATATAAAATGTGTTATTAAGGTTTTAGTATTTCCAATTAGGATTAAGTAGAATGATTAAAGAAATAAATGAAAGTATGTGGTAGGGGTTACACAACTATCATGCATTTAAACAAATCAATGTAGAGTCCAGCTCGGCTTGCTCGAGGGGTCACCCTAACCCAACCCAAAATAAAATTGCAACCTTAACCCTAACTCAAGACCGGATAGGGTTAGTGTTGCGTTCGGGCCAACCCGGCCCAATTTGCAGACTTAACGAAATAATCGATGGCGGGGCATACAGTGACAGTAGGAATTCAGGTAATGCAATAGACAGGACAGGGTACTAAATGCTAATATCCAATTTACCCAAATTAAAACCCTCGTCCATCTTGCTTTCTCGTTCTGCTTCTGCCCGTGCAACATTGCAAGAGAAGGCAAAATACGGAGAGGAGAGATGCCGGGACCGACGTTGGGGGTGGAGCCTGTCGAGCCACAGTCCTTGAAGAAGCTCAGTTTCAAGTCACTAAAACGAGCTCTGGATCTCTTTTCACCGATACATGGCCACTTCGCCCCTCCCGATCCCGAGAGGTATCCATTACTTGTTCTCTTGCTCTCTTTCTCTTTCTGAACTTCTGTCCGACATCCTTTTTTGTTCCGCAAAGTTATTTGATTTGAATAACCTCTCTCTCTCTCTCTCTCTCTCTCTCTCTCTTTCACTGTTTTTTGTTATTCGATTTCTATTCCCATATTCGTTACATTCTGATTATTACACTGTTTTCATTTCCTTGTTTTTTTTGTCTGTCTTTCTCCTATGCATGTGGCACAGTAAGAAGATGCGGATTAGCTACAAGGTCAGTTATGCTTTAAACCGTTTTTTGTCACTTAATTGGTTTTAAGGAATGCCAGTGGCTTTCTTTGAAATATTTCAACCATAAATTACCATGGAGCTAACCTCGTATTAAACCATTTTAATTTGGAAGGAGGTTGGAGCACCTCTAAACACATTCCCCCAACTAGGAATTGTAGAATTGCAAATTGTCATGCCGTAAAGTTTACTATACATATCTAATTATTCTGAACGAGGGGAAAAGAGAATCTTAAAGTAAAAAAAGAAAGAAAAAAGAATCATAAGTCGCTCAATATTAAGCAACATAGCTGTTGTCCAAGGCTGTATTGCCTGTCGTTCTTTAGCCAGATACCACTGGCAACCCCTACCAGTAATATTGTTGCAAGTGACTGAAGCATTGCATCAAGTTGATTTGCATGATTACTGATTGGTTGCAGGCCTGGCAAAGCGGCTAGTGATAATCATCATCCGAACATGAAAGGTCCAAACTAAGCAGATTGCAAGAGACATTGAGCTCATCCCTATTGCTAACCTTGAACCAAATAGTGAGCTGGCGAAGGATTAAACGGACTGTCAAGTTCACTTCTCATGCTTAAGAAGGTGAAACTTGGCATGTTTAAACACAGAGGATGATCATGGATTATAAACAGATAAAAAACAGCACCTTTTGGGTACTAGGGAGTTTAAAAGAGTGATTATGGATGCAATCCTAAGAGGACGGATCATAGTTGCAAGTTACTCCATTAGAAGAGAGCCAGTTGCATAGGAACGGACACCTCCAGAAGAAGGCAAATTGAAATTAAATTTTGATGAGTACAACCTAGATGCCCAGGACCATCAGAAATTGGTAGTATTTTCAGATATCATTCAGGTATAACTCTATCAAGCCACAGTGAACCAGTTGGTGTGGGAAATTCATTGAAGGACTGAACATGGTGCTGCCTTGGTAAGGGGATGTAAGGAGTTGTTGGCGCATGGTGACTGTGAGGTTGTGATAAGAGTAGTTTACATCAGGGGTGTTGGGCCTTGACCTTTCAGATGGTGAGAGAGTAATTTGTTATTGTGAATAATCTGAGCTACTCATTCAGATGGATTCCTAGGATGGTAAATGATAGGGCTAATGCTTTAGCTACAAGTGGTGTACACAGAGGAAATCTGGTCTGGGGAGAGAATGATTCGGGTAGGACTTGTAAAAAGAATGATATTATCTTTCTCAGCGTGTCGGCCTTAATTTTCTTAGTCCTGTTTGTTTTGCCCCAATCAATAGCTGAAACTTTATTGATTTGAAATGAAAGAAAAAATGAATTACAAAGCCATATTTGGACTAATTGGCTCTTTTTTGGTAGACTAGCCCAAGCTATCTTTTTTTTTTGTCTTCCCTTGTCTTTTTTTTTTTTTTTTTAATCAGTAACTAAAATCATCTCTTAAGAAATATATGTAGAGACTATATACAAGACTGCATAGTATATTATACAGCCCACTGTTAGGCTCGCTCATCAAGCCTAACCCCTTATAATAATCTTCTTTTACAATTGAGCCCAAAACAACTGCTCCTTAGCCCCAGCTATCTATGTCCCACTCTCATCCAGCCATCTTTAAAATGCATTCAGTCTCCATGGGAGACCTGTCCTCAATTCAACTGATGCCTATGAACTCCTTGTTTAGCTAAGGCACCAGCTAGAGCGTTGTCCAATCTCTTTACCCAATCCCACCACAAGTGAAGGGTTTTTTTTTTTTTTAATTTTTGTATTAGTATTACTAGTCTCTTCCTCCTCCTCCCCCAATCCCCACCATTAAGCGCTTCTTTATGGTTGAAACTGTTTCTGACTTTCTAAATGATATCATTCAAAGGTGTTTGCTGAATATGGGACAGTCAGAAACTTGCCAAGCCAACCTACTAATCAAGTAAACCCATCTCCAAAAGATCAAGCTCAACAAGCTTCTGCTCCTGATAAATTGTCTCTTCCAGGTATTGGATTGCTCTTGCAGAATTTGTTGTTATTATTCCATTTAATAGTTCAAGTGAAGATTGTGATTCATCAATAAATTTGGCTAATGGGTTAGATCTAGACCACAGTTTGATCAGTCAGCTTTAACCCAATCTGGCTCATCTTGGGGACTCTCCTCAAGCAATCTGATGATGTCATCTGGCGGCCTTAAGAGTCAAATAAAATCTAAAAGATTTTAATTTAGTTCTGGATAATTGCTTGACAACCCAGTGTCGATCAATTTGGCTGATTGAGCTAGCTGGTTTGTCATTCTTGTCTTGAGTGATAAGAATTATTATGAATGTTTTTTTAGGACTGTTATTAATATTAGGTTTATTGTTTAGGGGCCTGGGCACAGTTTAGCCAATCTATGATGTCAATAACCAGATTATTTGTTATTATGCCATTTGACTTTTCTTCCTCTTTATCAAGTTTTTGTTATTTATGTTGTTCCTAGCTTATTTGTTGCATCTTTATTTTTTATGTATGTTATTTTCCTTTCTGAGAAAAAAGGAAGAAAGCACAATTTATTACCTTGTAAGAAGACTACAAGTTGGCACTGAAATGCATTTAGGAGGTTCCTTATTTATTTGATTTTGGTTCTGTAATATATGGTTTTAAAGTGTAGTTTCATTGTTGTTTATCCAGTTAACTTATAATGCATTGGCATTATGATATATAGGACCTGAAGATTCTAGAGACATGCAATTGGAAGGGGCTCAAAATGCTTTGGTTGTTGGTCCATCTCTGCAGCCAAAGAGATCGTATGTCTGCTGTTCTTTCCAACTGAACATGCTTTTATTTATCGTTAAAATTCCTTCTAGGCAGAACAATATATTATCTGTGTCAATGTGCAAAATTGAATGATTTGTAACTAGTTTTGTGTTTGTCAGAAATGATGCAGGTCTTCCTGGTAAAAGCACTATAGGGGTTCTTACTTCTGTTCCTGGGTCATCTGAAAGGTCCTTGTTATTCTCCTTTCTATGATTTCATTGGCACTCTTTTTTTCTGCATAAGATGAAAAAAAAACGTTTTATTAAACCCTTTAAAACCCCAATTAGTAATTTTGTTAGTTTTGTGCAAGATAGCCACTCAGATGAATATTTTGCAGCTCTTTTTCTGCTTGGCTAGAGATAGGGATGTAAGTGGATCGGGTTTAGTGGTACCTGCCCTGCTTTGGTCTGATCCTGTCTGTAGGGGGTAGATTTGAGCCGAGCCGAGCCGAATATCTGGCTATTTGAGCTCAGCTCGCCAAAAGAACATGAGGCTCAAGTTTGAGTTAGAGACTTGGGCTTGAGCTCGACTATGGTCCAAGCTTCATATAAAAAATAAAAAATTATAATATAAAAATTATTTCTTATTTTACATATAAAATTAAGAATTATAAAAAATATTTATTATTATAGAAAAGTAAAAATATTATGTATATATAAAGTTTGATTAGGCTCACGAGCCAAGCTTCATTAGACTTGAGCTTGGCTTGATTGGCTAATGAGCCTATGTATTGGGCTTGATCTCGCTCAAAGCTCAATTTAAACCGAACTGAATCGAGCTTTTCACGAGCTGAGTTCAAATAGCTCATAAAAAGATCGATTCATGTCCACCCCTACCTGTCAGGCTGGCCTTAATTGGGTTTTGGGTTGATATTGGTCCATGCCAAACGCAACCTGTTTACATAGTAGCATTGAAACATTTGTGAATACAACCTTTACTTAATATATAGGTACTGTTTATGGGATGGGGCAGGTAAAGCTTCAATATCCCCATTTTATTTAGTCAGTTTTGGTTGGAGTGGCTCAGTTTGGGTTGGGCTAAGCAAAAAAGCCCATAATGACCTAACACACTAACACCCCTGGCTAAAGATATAAAGGCTGCACAGCAATACCAGTTTCAACTGCGAAGTGTTTTCATTTATCTTTCTTGAATAACTAAATATTAGTATTTTCAGTGGACAATACATTTAAAAAAGGAATTAAATGTCGTTGAATAATTTGATGTTTTTCGCGCTTGTTGTTTTTAGGCAGACAAGTAAACATGCATGTGTATTAACCATGACCAATTTCAGACAATAACAACACCAATCTCATTGTCCTTATCATAATTCATGTAACAAAGACAAGTAGCTGAAGCATTTAGTGGTGGATCTATTGCCTTTTGACCTAAGACCCAACTTCAAATCTTTCTATTTATAGTTTATATCAGTGTTTTCAACCCACAGTTGAACCAAATGCTTGGACCAATTGATCTGTCACCTAGCCAGATTTCTAGGCCTGTTCCACCCCAGACCACTAACATTAGTTATCTTTTTATATTTTTTTGTCCATTTCCATCATTAATAACAACAATTCTTGTTGATCACACATATTTTGTATAAGATGACAAATATATAATATTAGAGACATGCCCAATTTTTCTATAATTTCATGATTTTTTGTTATTTAATTTATGACATCATAAGTTGACTTGTTTGACTTGAGCGACTAAATTGTCGACCTGCCACTCAGCGGGAAATGTGATTCCTATTTCAAATTGTTGGCTTTTTATGAGTGCTTTTCAATCTGCTATCAAATCGGTCGGTTAACCCATTACCCAACCAGGATTCCTGGTCCACTTCACCACCAAACTTATTGCTTGCAAAATACTGTTGACTTGGTTAACAACTTGGTGACCCAGTCAGTGGGGTCACAAATTAAATATTAATTCTCCTTTTTTTTCTGTTTTTTTGTATTCCATTTCCATCATGAATAAAAATAATTTTTATTTATCAAACTTATTTTTGTTTAATATGATGAATATATAATATTAGAGATGTGCCTACATTTTTTCATGATTTTTTTTGTATTTTTCTGTAATCTTTTGTATTTGTATCTATTATAAATTTTTATTATTTGAACATGGCGTTATGGGTTGACCCATTTGACCTGGATGATTTAACCACTGGCCCACTACTCTTATAGAAAACAGTTTCTTTTCCAGGTTGGTTTTAAAAACAATGGCTTGTATACCATTAAAATTATGGGGTATGGAGTTAACTAGTGAAATTTAATGGTGGGAAACAAAAGTGTCTTAAATATAGGAGTTAATGAGAGAGTTGGGGCTGCTCAGTGTGGAAGGGTATAAAAAGTCAACCTGCTTTCCTGGAAGGAGTGGAGTTCAAAGTGGGCAGAGGAGACAGGATTAAATTTTGGAGGGACCCCTGGTGTCTGAATAGTAGCTTGGCTGATGCCTTTCCCCAGCTCTTTTAGTGTGCAGCTGACCAAGAAGTTTCTGTGGCGGGCTGCTATAACTTTTCCAATAGTTCAGTGACCTGGCTTCCCCGATTTAGGAGAGATCTGTTTGATTGGGAACTAAATGAGATGCTGAATCTGCTGAATCTATTACAGGGTCAAAATATTGACATGCTTAGTGAGGACAAGTGGGTTTGGAAATGGAGTAAGGATGGTAATTTTTCAGTCAAGTCCTTATCATCCAAACTTGGCAGTTCTGGGTCTGTTACCTTTCCCTGTAAACAAATCTGGAATGCAGTTTCTCCCTCTAAGTCTAATTTTCTGGTGTGGACTATGGTGCTTAATAAGTACCTATAAAAAATCAGCCTGGAAAGGAGGGGTCTGCAGCTCTCAAACCTTGCTTGTGGGCTGTGTGGACTGATGCCTGAAAGTACTGATCATCTAAGTATACACTGTTCATTTTCTTCTAATGTGTGGGAACATTTTCTAAAGTCTGCTGGAGTTTGTTGGGTCATGCCGAGATCAGTGAAAGACCTCCTATTTAGCTGGAATCTGGCAGGGTTGAGGAAAAAAGGAAGATTAGTCGGGAAGACAATTCCTGTAGCAGTTCTGTGGTCCTTGTGGTCAGAAAGAAACAACAGAGTTTTCTCTAACAAATCAAAAGGCCCAGATGAGCTTGTGCAGCAGGCAGTCAGCAAGCTGATCTCCTGGGAGTCAGTTACTGCTGTCTGTAATTGTATTATTGTTTCTTTGAAATAAAATCTTACAGAGGAATTGAAACCTAGTAGTTTGAATTACATTTTTTTCCTTTTTAATAGAGGGGTCAAATTCAGAAATAGGGGTATTTGAGTTAAAGGAAAATTCTAAAAATACTCAAGGTCCATTCTCATTTTTTTTATAAATGTTCATTCCCACTTTTTATGGTAGTATAGATATAGATTGACTGGAAATACCTATGTGCAGTGGTACACCTTGCCACTTTCCACATAGACTTCTTTAGCTCTATGTTGCTTGTTCAGCATAAATCTGATTGAACTTTTCATATTTTGGTTCCATAGTATCATACACCACTTTTCTATTTGATTTATAATATTGCTTTTCTATCAGTGTTACATGGACTCTCCTAATTGGGAAATGTTCATGTTGGACACATGTTGGATTCTAACAGCCTGTGGTTCTTGAGGGGTAACTTTTATACATGGTTTCCTCTTTTTCCTTGCTTATTAGACATAAATGAACAACTAATATATTACTACTGTATTAGCAGAGATCCTTTTGTTACCCAGAAATGGAACAGAATTTAGACTAAAAATTGAAGCATCTGAATCTCTGATACAATATGCCACCCTTGTCAAATATCCAGGTATAATACCCTCCTAGAATCTCAGTGAGACTTGACTAGCATTTACTTGTACCATTAGTTACCTTGCTGCATATGAACTCAAATGAATTCCATCCTTTCTTTCTCAGAAAAAAACAAGTTTCTAGGTAACAAGGATAAACTAAAGATTTGTGCGGCTTTTTGTATGTACATGACGATAGAATTCACGAGATATGAATTTTTAATAATAAATATTGATGTTGGGCATCTCCCTGAGTCTATGCTTTTTCATCTTGCTGACTCAGATGCCCAGATACATGTTGGATTCCAATTATTGTTTTTGTGATTGTGCAGCGTGGTTTTCTATACAACTCTCTCAATGGAATTCTGAGAGGTTTGTTTATTTGTTGTCTATCAGGAATACATCAACTTCTGCTCTAATGGAAAGGATTCCTAGCAAATGGCCACGCCCTGTATGGCGTCCTCCATGGAAGAACTATAGGGTTGGTCTTTTCTTTCTTTCTTTCATCTTTTTATAACTTTTTAGTATGTTTATTCATCATCTTGAAATATGGTTTATGTTTTATGTGTTGCAGTAGTTTTATTGTTGCAAAACTCCAATCATTGTTGTCTGTTTTGCCCAATTTATTCATCACAATAATCTTGCTAAATTCAATCGTATCATGCCATATTAATTGGTTGAATGAGTTGATTTCCTTCTTCCTTATTATATGCATTTCATATTTAAGGCATTACAAATGCTAGAAGTTGTTTGTGAATATTTTGTATGCAGGGACCTTATTAATGATTATTTTTTTTATCGGTAAGTGCAATTTTATTACAAAATATATGGTATAGATGTTATATACAGTATCAATACAATGTGTAGAATCTGTTTCAGATGGAGCCAGCCCCTTGCTGCTCTCCCATGGCATAGTTGTATACCTAGTGCTCCATTTTTTATTCAATAAGTAACTTTAATTTTATTAGAAGATCAAATGTACATCATTGCAAGCATCCCAAAGGAGAGGTGTGAGGTTCACCTCATCCAAGTAAAATTAACATATATATATATATATATATATATATATATATATATATATATATATATAAAATTGATCCCAATATAGCTGATCTCTATAGATCCCTTGTTTAGCTAGAAATTCAGCCATTCCATTTGCCAACCTCCTCTCCCATGAATGCTCACTGTTGTATTGTTGGTTAACCACTTAAACTTCTTGATTTCATCCCTATATGGCCAAATAACAGTTCCTAGATTCTGTAGCCAGCCCACAGCTAATTTTGAATCTCCTTCAACAATGAACTTGTTCAAGTTTTATTCTTTGGCTATATGTAATCCTTACATCATTGCCAAGAATTCAGACCTAACTGAATCCCCCAGTCCTGTTGGTCCTGAGAAGAAAGCAATGTCATGTCCCTCCCTGTTTCTAAAATCCCCTCCAAGGCTCCAATTGCAGAGGGTGTACCTAGTGCTCCTGTTCTCTGCTGAGAGGGTGGTTACCCCATGGCCAAGAATTCATCCCTAACTAAATCCCCCAGTCCTGCTGGTCCTGAGACGAAAGGAATGACATGTCCCTCCCTGTTTCTAAAGCAATTCCAGAGGGTGTACCTAGTGCTCCTGTTCTCTGCTGAGAGGGTGGTTACCCCATACCAGATACTGTCTACTGGCACTTTCCCTAGCTAGGGAGTAGGGATTCTGCAATGGAGTCAGCAGATCTAGGTACCCAAGATATCTCAGCATCCAGGGCCAAGGTTTGTGATCTAACTTCTCTAATAAGAGTTCTAAGCCTCCAAGGTCCCTCCCGAGAGCCTCTCAACCAAACAATAATGATTATTTCAAAAGCTTTTCTTTCAATAAGGCTCTTTAAATTATATAATCAATTTAACCGTGATAAGTTGGGTTAAAGGATGATGGGTACCCAAAGTATTATAAGTTACTTCAATTGTCTACACTTCTTTTTTTATCAGCAAGTTGTCTACACATTTTTCCATATATATATATATATTGCTATACCAAAAAATATTTAGTCACTTGGGTTTGGTACCAACAAAGGGTATTATATATTAACAAGTTCAAGATCACACAATTTTCATTCAACTTGATATGCTTACAGCCTGGGGTAAAAATTGTGATACATCTGAATATCTGATTACAATCTCCTAACCAATGTTGTAAGACTTGGACCGAACAAAAAACCAGAATGTCTGCCAGGTCATGGGTCAAATGGTCTTGCAACTAGGTCATATAAATAATATAATATATTTTGTATTTTGTAACATATGTGTAGATGGTGGCTAGGTGGTTTGTCTCTTTGGCTTTTGATACAAGTGACCATGGTTCAAGTCTTTTAACTCGCATTTTATTAAAAAATATGTGTACAGTGTATTAAGTCAATATATATATATATTAAAGTGAATTAATCAATATAAGTGATACAAATGGTATGATAGATCAACAATAGCATGTTATTATACATAAGAAAGAGGTCACAGGTTCAAGTCTCTTTGTTGTTGTTTTAAAGTTTGTGGTACTTTGGTGACCTGGGTGGGTTGTTGAAAACCGGCTTAACCATATTGAAATGTGGCCAGTTGACAATGGTTCTCACCAAGTTTTGAAGGGTTTACCGTTTTTTCAAAATTTGAAAAACTGAGTATGAAAAGCTGGAATGATTGCCAGTTCCCCAAGTTTCAGTCTGACCATCCAGTCTGGTCTGAGTCTTACAGTATTGCTCCTAACTTTTTTTTGATCAATAAGTATTTGCTCCTAACTTTGTAACTTTACCATCCTGAAATTTTCTATTTTGGGAAAACCCTCTCAGTTTCTGACAATGGATGGTGTATGGTCAGTCCACAAAGGGCCGCCTCTGATTCTTGTGACCTTTCATCTTAATTAGGCTTAACATAGGAATTCATAATCCATTTCATGGTTGGCTACCTGTATCCTTTGTAGAGGACACGTTTTTCATCCTTGATTTTGGGGATTATTTTCTTGTTTCTCTACCTAATGTTCATATTGTTTGTAAATTGAAAACACACCTAAAGTTAACACAAGTATGGTGTCCAAAATTTAGGAGATCTCTCTGATTGGGAAATTCAGGAGTGTGTGGATCTTCTGGCAAATCTATTGTCAGCTGAATCCCAGGTGTAAAGGAAAGATTCAAGACGGTGGAAAGAATCTAGAAATGGCCTATTCTCAGTCAAATCTTTCTACAAGTCTTTGTTAAGGTCAAATGGAGAAAAATTTGATTCGAAAGGCATATAGGGAAACCTTGTTCTCCCAAGGGTAGAATGTCTTTCATTTGCTTGTTGAGTGCCTTTTCCCCAAGTTCATTTGGGGTTTCTTCTTTAGGCTCATCAAGGCTGGTGGGTGGTTTCCCAATTCTGTGGAGGAGATATTCTCCAAGTGGTCAAAGGTTAAAGGAAATGCCAAGGCAAAGATTGCCTGAAGCTGCATTTTTTTGACAGTTTGCTGGGAACTATGGAAAGAAGGAAATAGAAGAATATTTGTGAGAAGGCTTGATCAAGGGAGCATATCACACTTCTCTGCGGCAAAAGAATTGGAACATTCTCAAGTTGGCCTAATTGTTTTCCTTTGTTTGGTTTATGTTTTTTCTCCTTTTTTTCTTCTTAGTGTATCTTGTTTGCTCCACTCTCCTTTGTAGCTTTGTTTTCTAGTGATATCTCATCACTATCAGATGTACTTCTTTCTTCTCTGTGTAAATTTTCTTTTTTATTTACTACCCAAAAAAAGTTAACACATCCAAAATAAAAAATGATTTCATCTAACAAAATTACTCTTAAGTGCATGATGTGAAATTTCATTATTAATACCTGTTTTTTTTTTTGGATATGTTGTCTGTAGTGAGTGCTTATTTCACTCGTATGGTTTGCCACTGACCTCATGTTTATCTTTTCTTTTAACAATTCATTTATTTGGCACTATCATATGCCTTGGGGGTGGATAATTGATAATATGTGATTCATGCATGTTGTATTTCATGGTATGTGGGGTTTCAACTGTAACATCATTAGTGATGTTAGTCATCTTTAGTTGGGTGGTTAAAAGAGCCGGAAATGGTAACATGGTCCTACAGAGGGGCTTTGAGAAGGTTCAGATGGTTAACATCAGATATGTCAGTCACAATTCAATGGGAAAGAAGATCGGAAAATGGGTTGGCAGATTCTTTAGCCAAACAAGGGTTACATAGGGATCAGTTTTTTGGGTTCATTTGTAAGTTTTACGATATAGTCAGTGTTTTAAAAGAGCAAGGTGCAAAAAAAGTGCAAGGGCCAATTTGCGTCTGAGGTGCAAGGCGCAAGGTGAGGCGCGTGCCTTTTTAAGAAAGGTGCAAAATTACAAAAAAAAGATAAAAAATAAAAAAAAACAGAAAATAAAAAAAAGCCAAAAAATTCAAAAAATATTAGCATAATGTTAATAAAAAATATAAACTTAAAATTTAAAATAAATGTTTTAAAAAACCTATTATCTAAAATTAAAATACATAAACATAACATGTAAAGCGTATTCAAATGAAAATTTAAAAATAAAAGCAAACATATAAAGCATTTTCAAGAATGTAAAACCCACAATCTCTTTTTCTCCTTAATTTCATTGCTTCAAGTAGCTAATGTGATGTAAAACACATTCTCCATTCTATGAGTCGCCTTCGTACCACGCTCCTCAGGCGCGCCTTTTAAATCACTGGATATAGTTTTGTAATATGTATCCTTTGTGCTGATTAATAACATAACCTTTATCTATCAAAAAAAATGTTAGTCATCTTTAGTTATTTGCATAATTTGTCGTAGAATGTATATTAGAAATCTCTTTTCTGATTATCAACTGATTACAAATTCTGTGTTTTTTGTCATGTGACTTATTGATTCTCGTTCAATGGGGCTTGGGAAATGCATATTCTTTATGCTGATTGATTTTTTATGTATTCTTGATTTGTAGTACTGTATGTTAATTGATATTCTTCCCTTTAACTTGTGTAGGTAATTAGTGGTCATTTAGGATGGGTTAGATCAATTGCATTTGATCCTAGCAATACATGGTTTTGTACTGGCTCTGCAGACCGCACAATAAAGGTATCAAATTCTGAATGTTGTTTTGTACATGTTAGTTGCTTCAAGCATTTGTGGTGGCAATTGGCACGTGGATTGGTGATTCCATGATGCTATATAGAATAGAAGCAAGGACATAAAATAAAGGAGGGAATAATGTAGGAATTGTTTTAAATCTTCATCCAACCAGTGGTGTGCTAGTATGGAGTTTCCACAGGGAATTTGGGTTGGTGTGTCAACTTGACAACCAACTGACCTGTATTGTACCTTTTTTTCAGTTTTAATGAAATTCTCTTTTATCCTTAAAAAAAGGTATGGAATTTCCACAGACAAGGGGACTACCTCAGCATTACTCCCTGTCTCAGCTTATTTTAGCCTTTTTTTTTTGTTAACTAAAATATTGTACTAATATTCCACATTGTGTCTTATTGTAAATTTGAAGCCTTTAAATTGCATATGAAATTTCATTGATGTCCTAAATGTAGTACATTTACTATTAGAAAAAAATAACAGATCACAAAAAAATATAAATAACTAATTTTCTAGTAGTAAATGGAACTATGTTTATTGCTCTCTTTTGCGACAATCTTCTGACCCCTTTGCCTTTTGGTTCACAAGATATGGGATGTAGGGAGTGGAAGACTAAAGCTCACATTAACAGGGCATATTGAACAGATACGTGGTTAGTTTCTTTCCAGTAAGTTGTCTTGGATTACATTGCAGTGCATAAACATGGGTTGTTCATTAGGGTAGTGATTTGTATCAGGTATTACAAATTGTAAGAATGTATATGTATTTCCATCTGCAGGCCTTGCTGTGAGCAAACACCACACCTATATGTTCTCTGCAGGAGATGACAAACAGGTTAAATGTTGGGATCTTGAACAGAACAAGGTTGGCAATCGAAAAAATTAAATGCTCTTTGGATCCTTTACTTTTGAGTTGTCCCTCTGTAGTTAAGTTATTATTTTGACTTGAGTGTATCACTCTTTGTATAGGTTATACGGTCTTATCATGGGCATCTAAGTGGTGTGTACTGCCTAGCTCTTCACCCCACTATTGACATTTTGCTTACTGGGGGACGTGATTCTGTCTGCCGGGTATGAATGTATGTCATTATAGTAACTCTGTTGACAATTAAACCAACCAATCAAATAAAATAAAAATTCTGTTGACCGTTTGAAGTGGAAATTACTTTGCAGTTTTACTCAGTATTTCAAGTTAATCGTTTGTCTGCAAGCCAGATTATCTATTTTACATCAAAACAAAATAGTTTGTCTTTATTTACTTTTAAATGTTCATAAAGAGATATTATTCTGTCCCCTCCCCTCTTCTATGTATGTTTATATACATGTGTGTATCTTGTCACTTTGTGCTTCAAGGTTATTTTCCATGACAATCCATATCTGTTTTCAGAGATACATGTATGTCCCTATCCACAGCCCTTAGCAGACTATTCATAATTCAATTTAATTCATATGCTGATGAATATAAACTGAACAAGCAGATACACCTATGCCTTAATGCAACTTTGCATTTTTTTTTTCAGGTCTGGGATATTCGTACTAAAACACAAATTCATGCACTTTCAGGCCATGACAATACAGTTTGCTCAGTTTTTACTCGTCCTACAGTATGTGGATTTTGTTTTTGTTTTTGTTTTTAATTTTACAATGGGATGATGATTGTATCTGTAGAACAAATTCATGTTCTTATATTTTCTAGTGTTCTAGAAACAAGAGACACTTATAATCTATCCAGTCTAGAGCAAATAGTGTTAGCCTGGAGATTGGACCAAGTAAAGCAAGCTTGACCTAATGGGAAATCTCTTAATTCAAAAGCCTTAATAAAGTTGTTAAATTTCCTCATACTTGAAGTGATCCTCTGTCTTCCTCCAATTGATTCATCCACAAATCTAATCACATTAAAGTCACTTCCTAAGCACCATGGGCCTTTCCACAGTCCTCTAATATCTGCTAGTTCTTCTCACATCACATTCCTTTTCCTATAAGAATTTAGCCCATAAACATTGGTGAAGACACAATCAAACCCATCCTAACTATTCTTCAGCTTTACCGAGACTGAAAATCTTCCCACCAGCTCTTCACTACAAGTAAACATGTCTTCCTTCCAGGCTGTTATTATTCCCCCCGAGGCACCCCAAGCTGCTGCAAAGCTCCACTGACAATTTCTTTCTCCCCAAAAACTCCTGATCCACATCCTGAACTTTAGATTCCTGGATCAAAACTATGTCTAGCTTTTCTTTCTTCAGCATCTCCTTAATCAACCTTCTTTTTGTAGCACTTCCTAGACCCCTAACATTCCAGCTGATGATCTTCATTGAGCTTACTAACAAAACCCAGATGCCCTTCTTCCTAAAGACCTCCTTTTCTTCTTCCCCCTAGCACTAAATTCTTTGTTCCCTTCAACATCATTGACGAGTTTCTCCACTTCATTCAGTTTTTTTCTTTCTTTTTCCACCCCCTGTTCTCCCTGTCTTTTTTTGAGCAATCTCCTCAGATTTCTCTAAGTTAAGCCCCATTCTATTAGCTAGGTTTTTCACTTGGTCCTCTTCCCCCGGTAAGTCTTCTCCTACAGGGTCATCCTCATCCATTTCTGTTTTTTCTTTACCCTTCTCCCCTCCTTACTATATTCATCATCTGTCATATTTTCCCCCAAAAGAACTACCTCCCTCCCACAATCTGGCTTTAGACCTCCCTCTAGAAGTTCCCCCACCACAACACAGCTATTCAAGTCCATGAGCCTATTCACAGCAGGATCAGGGGTTGGGCCATCTGCAAGAGAACTAGAAGAGGAATCAGTAGCAAAACCGAAAACACAAGACTTACAGGGATTACCAGCATCCACAGGAGGGACAATATCAACAGAATGGGGAGTTTCAGAAGCCATATCACCCTGACTCGGATCATGGTTGCTCACAAAGCATCAGGATTTTCTGTTTGATGTTGAACCATGGCTACTGTAATCCAACAAGCTCTACTTGTAGGTTTAAGCAAAATTTTGCTCTCCTAGGATGTACAATATTTGAAATATTAACTCAATTCAGTGGCATGTTGAACTTCTGTTTTATGTTCTTATGCAATTTGTAGAGTAGTTTTAGATTCAGAAGAAATATCCTCAATCAATTTCTGCTTGAGTCTAGGAATGTTTCTACAAGTAGAGCCTTTTGGCTATAAAACATCAATATGTAGGGATGTCATATATGTTGATTGATGTGAAATTATTTTGGTAAATATGCATAAAATGCTTTGTTGTAAGGATGGAATTTATTTATACAACGTTCCTTCTTCAGGATCCACAAGTTGTAACTGGTTCTCATGACACAACTATAAAGTTCTGGGACCTTAGATATGGTGAGTAGTCATTCTTTATCACTTGATCATTTATTATTCTTATACAAGAATGAAATGTAGTCGTTCTTTATTCTTATACAAGTTGTGACGTTTCTCATATCACTTGATCATTTATTATAGGAAAAACAATGCTGACTCTCACGCACCATAAGAAATCTGTTCGAGCAATGACACTACATCCTAAAGAGTATGCATCTAAGCTCTCACATGTTCCTTTCTGTAGAAGTAGTTTCTTCTTGATGATAATTTTCTTTGAAAAATAATTTGTAATATGTACTGTAATGTTGCTATTCCTTTTTCGTTTGCTGTTTTTGAAATTGCTGCTTGTCTTTCTTGAACTTCAGGAATTGCTTTGCATCTGCATCAGCAGACAACATAAAGAAATTCAACCTTCCTAAAGGAGAGTTTTTGCACAATATGCTGTGAGTGCTGGAAAAGTTCTATTTTTTTTTTCCACAACTGACAGTTCTCTTCAACTTTGTCAATATTTAAAGTGGTAACTGCCATTATAGTTTTTATAGAATAGTAGGTATGACTTTGTTTTGGCTTGTCTAAAAGCAATGTTAAAAGAAGAAAATATTCCAAAGAAGCGGGATCATTGAGAAGGCTTGGACAGATAGGAGTGTGTCAACTTTTGAGTACTGCAGATCCAGGAGAATGACCTGAATGGAGGCATAAAATTCTTCTCAAAAGATATTAAACAACAAAACATGTGAGATGTAAAGACCAAATTACCTCTACCATGTTTCAAAATTAACTTGTCGTGAAGTTTCAAATCAGATCCATAGGTTGAATAGCATTTCAAATGACCACTGATAAAAAAAAAGCATTTCAAATGACCCTTATTCCCATTTCTTTGATTATTTAATTCATTTCATTGTTTTCTTGAACATTTGATACCTCTACTTTCAAGTGTATGCTGAATTTTCCTATTTTAATGAATTATGTGGTTATTGATAAAAAAAAAAGTGTATGCTGAATTTTTTTTAGTGTTTCTGTTAAACACCCCCGGTGTGATTGCACAGTGGATGAGGGGGCACAGGTGGTGCCATAAGCAAAACAGAGAAAAGACCATGCTTGAATTCATGAGCCCTTCAATAGTATCTCAAGTCTCAACTCAACCTAAAACTGAACATTACTGGGAACTTTGAATACATGACAATTCCCTCATCTTTCATTTAGTCTACAATATTTGTTGTTTACCATCCCTCAACCCATGTTATCTGATGTACAACAGAACCTTAAGGCTCATCATTCTGAGAAAAGGTGTTTCTAGTTGTTGGATATTTGTTTCATTCTTTTGTATCAGATTTTCACCCTTAGATGGAAGAAAAGTTTGTCTGAAGCATATCTTACAAGTGTGTTAAGATCTTCTTTTATCTGATAGTAGAGTAAAAGAAGAATTTTATTTAGTAATGAAAAGGAGTACAAAATCTAGGAAGAGGGGATGAGATAGCACCCAACCAGCAAAGACAGATTAAAAAAAAATCTGATCTTTAATTACAATTCATAAATCTACCTGCAGATTCCACTTTCTGAAATTAATAGTTTGGCATTAATCTCAACGTCATACTTAATTTATGATTATAAATTAACATCTCAAGTCTTTTCCTTGGCAGTTCCCAACAAAAAACAATTATAAATGCAATGGCAGTCAATGAGGATGGAGTAATGGCTACAGCAGGTATATTGCACAGGGTGTCCTTTCAGCACAGAATTTTTATTGAGTGAATGTGAAGAACCAAATATTGTAAACAATTGGTAGATGAGATTTCTTCCAAATAAGACGAGAAAAACTCTTCTTAGCAGATTTCCTTGTCTAAACTTATCCTGGTAACATGATATTAAGCATCTAATTTATTGATTAGTATGAGAGATTGGACTTTCCTGGTCTTCTTTTTTTGCCCCATTTGTCTGCCATTTCCAAGATTGTGTATTGTGTATTTTGTAGAAAAGATGATGGCCTCTTCTCATTTGGCCAATTTGGGTTTCTAAGAGTCCTTGTGATAAATAGTGGGAAGCAGGGACTGTAATGACCACACTGAACTTTTTGTTCTTCTGGAAGGTGACAATGGGAGCTTGTGGTTTTGGGATTGGAGGAGTGGCCATAACTTCCAGCAGGCCCAAACTATTGTGCAGCCTGGTATGTATCATAAATTCATAATGCACTTGCATTCGTCTTGCAATTCTTTTGTTCTGTTTTTGAGAAAGCAGGTACTGATGGATGACTGTTTGATTCAGGGTCATTGGACAGTGAAGCTGGCATCTATGCTCTATCATACGATATAACCGGCTCAAGGCTTGTAACTTGTGAAGCTGACAAGACCATTAAGATGTGGAAAGAAGATGAGAATGCTAATCCTGAAACTCATCCCCTCAACTTCAAGCCACCTAAAGATATCCGGCGATTCTAATGGTCCTTTTGGCCTAACAAACCTGATTGATGATCTATTTTCCGTCTGTAACATGGATGCTTATGTGCTCTCCAAATTTTGGCAATATTGGTTTCAAACTTCTAAAACTGAACTATCCTGGAGAGTAAATGATCCAGCACCTTCAGCTAAGTTTGAGTGACATCTTGGCCATATTTAGGCGTAGTCCAGGATGGTGCACAAATCGGTAAACGTGCAACGGTTGGTTCCGACCTATTTTAATCAATGCATTATAATGGTTTTTGACGTCGTTCACTGCCTCCATTAAGCTCAGCTTGATTCAATGGCCCCCATTGCTTTACACCGGATCTATGGGAATTCATAACCAACATCACAGTATTGGTGGCATGAGGCAGTCTTCGGTCTGGGCGTAGTGGACAGGTTGTTATGATGCTGTTCTGTTGCCTGAGGCCCTGTAGGCTGTATGGCCTCTGATTTCAATGACATCATGCCAGCAAGATTTGTTCGTACATCTTTGAGGACATGTCACTGTTAAGAGCATCAGATGTTAATAGAAGCATACCAATCCTTTTGTTATGGTCTTCAACCCAATTAGAGTTTGGTAATTTCCCATAAAAACCCATTCATCAAGCTAGAACTTTTTTTCAGTGATTATCAAGTTAGTTACAGTTACCAAAATGGACTGCTTAAATAGTTACAATTTCCAATATAAAACCTAACTTTTTAGTTGGCAAATTCTCTGGATTCTTGCAGTGAAAATTGGGATCAAGTACCCTTGACACCAAGGTTCAGGGTTGTTATGTGGAATGGGCTACCCCCATTGTGTAGCCCTATGAAGCCCCAAAAAATGATCTTATCAACTACACAATGGGGGGTAGGCACCCCCTATGGCCCTATCCCCTTACACCCCCCTCCCTGCCCCCCAACCACCTCGGTGGCAGTGGGATTTGATCCCAGTTCTCTGCTACAAGTCAGAGATTCTACAGTTCTACCAACTGAGCCATCACCAGTTGGTAATGGATCGTTTACCAATCAGGATCACCCATGCAAATTGCAATTACCCAGGGGCCAGACTTTAGATCTATGCGCCACTCCCCTGTTGTGTAGCCCCCGTGAAACCCAACCAAAAAAAGGGCTTGAGGTCTGTTTGGTTTACAATTAGAATCAAAATTGGAATTGGACTAGTTTATTCCCCCATCTGTTTGATTCAGACTGGAATAAAAATGAGTTGCAATGGATTCTCATGCCCAATCAAATTGTTAGTGGAAATGAACTGATTCTGATTTTAGACCCCTATTTTCATGGACCAAACAGATCCTGAATTCTATCTGCGATTAAAGAGTTGCACTTCTTGAAGGGACAATTTTTGTCCTCACTCTTTAAGGTTATTATTCAGTTTTTTTTTTTTTTTTCAGGAATTGTGTAAAGAATATATTACAAAACTCATAGAAAATCAGCAGCAGCCTGTGTCAATGAGTCCATTGATCTAACCTAATGCGTCCAATCTGTGGGCTGTGATGGATGGACCACGGCCTAACAATCTAACACACGGACAGACACACCAGGAACTAATTCCTTTCGAGCAATTGACCACGGCCAAAACTTTCTTCAATCATCCAATGCAATAATCAATTGCTTATCAGAAGGTTAGGACTCACTTTCACTTTGGCATTTTGACTATAAATATGTTGGTTTATAGCCTAACCATTTGGGGTAGAAAAGAACCTAAATTAAACTCAAAAATAGCAAAAGAAAGAAAAAAAATTCTTGAAAGGTACTCGTTCTAGTCGTTGCACCTACTACTGCATGTGTTTGGTTCCCCAATACTAATCAATCAACTAATGAGTAATGAAATTTCCATATACTAATGACAAAATTTTCACTCTTTCCCCTTAAATAATTCCATTCCATCACATCTTGCATTCTGGCTTCCTCTTCGGTTATATATGACTGAGACAGCCCCACTCTTCTAACAACTAATACTGATGAGAATTGGACCATTTAGATGGTGTTTGGTATCGATGATGTTTTTTAGTACCATATAAGCGTTTAACAGAAAAACGTCAAAAGTGCTGTTTAATTGAATTGTTTATCAGATAAAACATGTCTTTCGACTTTCGTGAGAGCCATTTATCATAAAAATGCCAAAATTACTGTTTTTCATTTTTTTTAAGGTGTTTTTTTTACTGTTTGGCTTATATGATGCCTAATAGAGTCTAGTTGAACCTAATGACGCCAAGGTGTTCAAAAATGTTTAAAGCAAAATTTTCCCAATTTTCAAAACAGAATATACAAAACGTTTATAATAAAATGAACACCATCAATACCAAACATCCCCTTATTAATGGCTTAAACTGGTGGGCTGGGCTGGGCTACCTCTTCGATAGGGCCTTGATCCGATGATTCTAATCCTTTGGTGGGCCACGTGCTAGGAAGTAGGAACTATTCCACGCTGTTCACATGCAGCACACGCTATTATTTCTGTCGTGGGTGGGTGGAAGGAGTAAAAAAGAAAACTCAAGAAGACGGAGGAATAGAGATTATTGTGGGAATCTGCACCCTCCGAATCTGACTGAAAAAGTCTTCCAGGTTCCAACTTCTAAGTTCTAACTGGAGAGGATGATAGAATAGTTGAAGTTAACAAACGCGAGGAATAGTTAATTGCCACATGTACGGTGCAGTGATCAACATCGCTTTAGAGTGAAACTTCCTGTTTCCAGCGTGCGATCGAAGTCGTCGTCGTGTGGAGCCCACGAGTTGGTCCTGCGATTACGCCCTTTCATTTTCATTCTCATAACACTCCCAGTCCCCACAACCACTTGACTCTATTGTCCATTCTATTGTTTTAATTACCTTTAAATCCTTGTTATCTATCTTTTTGTCTTTTTTTCCCGCAACCCTGGATCTGGATTCTGGTGGAGGCTTGATTCGATCTCAAGTGTCCGCTACTGTATGGGTGTCAATTGCACCGGATTTGATCCATTCTATCACGTTCAATATGAGTTTATTGGAAATGGACCAGTTCCAATCCAATCCAATAAATACTCTGGATTCTTATCTTCATCATGAATTAGATATTGGTTAATCCGATCCAATCCAATATAAAATCTATACAATGAATCAGGCCCAATCCAATTCAATAAATATTTTTGGACCATTAAATATGAAGTCTGAAGTATGGATTGATCCAATTCAATAGGTCTTATTGGTATTTCCAATCCGTCCAACGCTACAACCAGTTGGTGGCTTTACCAACCAACAAGTTAGCATCTCGCCTTTAAACCCTGGTTATCATAAAATTACCTTAAAACCCTGAAATCTCTAAATTCCTAAAACCTTAGAGACCGGAAACTGAAAGGTCAATCACTTCATTTACATGGGGAAGGGGGCTCAGTTGGAATTGAGATCAGCTACCAACAAATACTCCCAACATTGTCCCAATAAGCCAGTACAGTCGCACATTAGGAACATCTCCCCATGCATGACAAGGGAGATGTTTCCCATGTGCCAGTGGCTATAGCGGCATGTTGGGACATTGTTAGGAGCATTTGTTAGTAACAGATCCCTGTCTGGTTTTCAAAATCAGATCAGACCGAATGGTCGGACTGGAAAAACCGGGAACCAGTCATTTGACCGGTTCCAATTTTTTTCAAAATTGTTGATTTTGGTCAGCAAATCGCTGAACCAGCTGATTAACCATTTGAATAATTTTGATCATTTTTTAGTTTTTATAATTTTTTTTTGTCAGAACGAACCAGTCGTTTGGATCGAACGATCAGACCGATTGAACCGATAACCAAACCTCTAACCGGTACGGTTTTAAAAACCATGGATCCCTGTGCGTTCAATTGATGGTCTCTAAATGGTTGTAGCGGAGACTTGGGATCATTCCTACCTTCACCTGGGTTTGAAGGGGGATGGGTATGGGAGATATGTTACCCCTGTTGTGTAGCCCATTAAGCCCGTTAAACAGTATTTTTGTCAAATTTACGAAACGTATATTTCGAAGGGCAAAATTAATGTTTTATTGTTAAGGGTATTTTGGCAAATAAATATTTTTGTTTTAACTCTGATCCTTCCGAAACAAACCTCCTGTACCTTGGCTATCTGAGGGGCTACAATTTATTTATTGTTAGATAAATTCAAAAGTTCAACTACAGTTTATTTATTAATATTGATTATACACTAAACCTCGATTTCAATCAATCATATTAAAGTCTGCTTACTTTTTATTGATTCATTTTTAGTGTACTTTCATTAAGTATATATTTACCATCACATTCAACCAATCATATCTTTTGTTATATTGCAAGATGCATCATACATTTTGCCTAAACTCAAAGGATGGTATGTATAATTTACCCAAAATTAAAGAATAAAAAAAAAAAAAAACTCTTCCTCCACCATCTCAGATCATGTCAAGAATAAAAAAAAAGAAGAATGCCTTAATGATCAGAGAATGTTAATTAACTTCCACCTATAAAAAACTCTATTATCTACCAATAACCTAATCAGGTCAAGTGAGATATTCTGGTGCAAGATCGTGAGGAAACGTGGAAATTAATTCAATAAAAGAATGCCATTACAATCTGTCTCTAGAAGACTAGATTATGTATAACTATAAACCTTCTAGCAACATTCAATAATGGAATCAACAAATTTTTTTTTCTTCTTCTTCTATTGGTTTTGATTACTTGACAAGGAGTCCTCTGATCTCGCCAACAAACATGAGTAGAGTCTTGGAAACATAGAGAAAAAAAAAGGGTGAGAGAGAGATTGCTTTCTGAAGAGCAGGTGGTTCCCCACACAAAGCCCCACTCACTTTCCCCATGTATACTGTGTTCATCATGATCATGTCATCCATTCTCTCTCCCCTTATGTTTTCTCGTTTTCTCCCTATAACAACAAAACAAGAGAAGAAGAAAATTGAAAAATACTGGACATTTTGGAAGGAGCTGAACTTTTTTTTCCACTCAGGTGGGCCAAAGGGATAGCAACTCCACCCAGAACAAGACACCCAAATCGAGTTCAGTTCTGATCTGCTGTAATTGATCAGAATCAGACTAGAAATGAGAATAGAGTTGGAGGTGATAAGGGTCCTCTCCCCAAATATACTCCATTTATCATCAGAGCTCACATGAACAAATGGACCCCTCTTCTGATTTCTAGGCACCAAGGGTCCAGTCCCACGGGGTTTTGGCCTTATTTACCATCCTCTTGTTTCCCTTTTTTTCTCTTCTTTTTTTCAAAGGGTGACTAAAAACAGTTAGAACCATAGGTTCCCTTCTTGCTAGTAATCAGAATCATTCCTTTGAGTCCACTCATTACTTTTCGCTTCCTGATCCTTTGCTTACTCATTTCGCTATGTTATCCCTCCTATGAAAAATACAACAGAGAAAGAGAGAGAGAGAGGAAGATGCTACTCTGATCCTATAGACCCAAAGTCAAGTCTTGGATGGGACCCATTTACTAATGGCGTATTCAGACATCAGAACCCAGTTGGAAAGGAATGACTCCTTATGGGTTTTCATGCATTTGAGTGCACAGGTCCCTTGTCTAATATGAAACCCTTTTTTGGTTAATGAAACCCTTCCAGTATTTTTCAAGGGTCAAGGAAAAAGATTGCACTCATCACCATTCACTACCCTCTTTTTTCAACAGCTTACTCATTTTCTCCCCATCAATAAATACCCTCTCTACCAAAACCAACCAAAAGAAAATTGCAGAAAGGAACTTTCTTTCCCCTCTGTTGTAAGAAAATTACTTCATTCTGATGCTTAAAGAAAAGTTAAAACTCAATCAACTTTCGATGATGGTTTGATTACCATCAATCTCGTTTAGATGAAATTGCTGTACTGTTTGTTTGGTAAGAAACAATCTTGAATCATCCCATGTATAATATAAATATAAGATTTAGAAATATAGTATATAAGGTTTTGTATTATACATATTTGTATTTACGCTCTTCCCAAACTGAGCCTTAAATTCATAATAACCTAGTTAGTTCTGATGTAGCATCAATGGAGCCAAACATTACCTCAGTTATTAAATTCAAAAGGAAAAATTACTTCAACCTTCTTTTGACTTTGGTTTCTGCTAAAATCTCCTTTCTTGTTTGAAAGAAAAGCAGCAACCACACCCCCTTTCATTAGTTAGGCCAACAGAAAGTGCTGATATGATGTTTTAAAAATTTTGAAATATGAATTCTGCCCGTATGATTCAACATTTTTGGAGTGAAGATCACTGAATTGCCTGATTTGATATTTGATGGAGATCCTCCCGTCCACCCTGCAACATGTTTATTAATTTATCTGCTTGTGCTATAAATTTCCCCCCTCCTTAGGCTACGTTTGGTTTGAAGGAAAAAGGTAGGGAAAGGTAAGGAAATCTTTATAAATCTTGTGTAGGTTTTTCTATCTTTTCCTTCCTTTTCCTACCTTTTCCTTCAAACCAAACATAGCTTTAAAAAATGAGAATCTCATCCCACCCGATTTTCATTTAGATTTTGATTCCCATTTGAACTAAACAGGTAGGAGAATATATCATTCCAATTCTAATTCCAACTCCAACTGTAAACCAAATGGATCCTTATTATAACATTGCCCCATTTTTTTTTGTCAGTTTTCAAAAGGTTGAGTAAAGTTGAATCTTAACAAAACATGGATGGGAACTCTTCTTGGTATGGTTGGAATGTGACAATCAGTAAATCACTTAAAAAAAATGTCCCTCAATGCTTGAGGTTGATGGGGGGTTTGAGGTTTCTTGCTTCATGCTAATCAGTGTGTCTTTACCTTAAATGTAGATTTTGAGAGCAAGGTCTAATTTGGAGTAGGTCCATCTCAACTACTCCACCCACAGACGAAGACTTGTTCACAATTCAAATGTTGAAAAAATCAATACTGTTTTGTTTTTGGACATGTTTCTTCCAAGAGAAAACTCTCATCCGTAAAACATGACCCTTAGCAGTGGAGAAAGACCTCATCTCACACAATCCAGTGAATCCACACACAGCAAGAGACCAAGAGTGCTAAAGTCATAGATGGAAGGTTCAACTGCAAACCCCAAAAGCCAAGAATTGAGAAATTCTATGGACGAGGAGATTCAGATTCAGATTAGAAGGTTAACAACTTTTAATTTACTCATCACTGTTGAGTGAATGATACTAAATTTGAATTCTCCATAAACCTGAGAATTCGACAGGTGGAGATTATAATAAATGCAGAAGGCCCCAGACGTGATGAGAGTTTCCTGTGGCCATTGAAGAAAGTTATCTCGACTCTAATAGTGGATTTGTACTTTGTTGTTTATAATCTAATCATCTAAGAATCCGGCAAGGAGAGAGGGAGAACGACCAGTCCACTGCCATCAAAACAAATTATATATACAAACAAAGTTTTTTTTTTTTAGTACGGTATACACGTATCATTGTCAATGGCCCCTCTGGAACTGGTTCTGACTTCTGACCAAATCCCTTCTCACTTAACATTCATACAACTCAGATATTATAATTCGTTTTCTGGTTTTTTTCTGGTAATAAGGTATTTTTGGTTTAATAAACAAGAAATTATGATTCTGTTGTGTAACGTTTAGCTCCATATTTTAGGAAGATTGTGAGCTTTGAGTTGTAAAATTATATTCTATTGCTTAATCTTTTCAAAAATATGTATACTGTATGAGTTGGGATTGGGATCCCCTCCCAACAATAGGTGTTCCAACACGTTTTTAATATGATCTATGCCCTCACATCTCAATTTTTAGACTCATCATAAAATTAAGGGGTTGGTATGATATCAGAAAGATATGATATCTAAAAATTTTTTAACCAATCAACGTTGTAGCCAATCAGGTGTTATTTATCAAAATTCATGGGTGAGTTTTAATTGGTCAAAACTCTTCTGATATCATGTCTTTCTTGCATCATAGATTCTCCCCATGTATATATCTATGCATGCATATGTATTGTTTATTCAAAAAAAATATACATGGTATGCATGCAAATGTGCAACTATATATGCATATATATGATGGTGTGTGATTTGGTAGTTTATTGCTAGAGGACAGCTTACACGTTGGGTTGATAAGGTCAGTAGGTCAAATTGCAAAAGAATAGTCAGAGTACCCAGGGTGGGCACTCCAATGCTTAAGTCAACGATGAGTGTAAAAAATGGAAGAAAGCAAGAGAGAGAGTTTGAGAGCAAAATCGTGCGTACTTTCTATAATTGAAGGAGGTGCCTTTGTATAGGCATGGATAGTTGTGGGCCTCACATAGCAAGTCCGAGATCTCCGGGAGGGCATGGCTTATTGGCCCTCCATCCCCGAAGGTGGTTTTCATGGATAGCAATAAGGCTTATCCGATTATCTTCGAAATGGGCAACATAGAAGTCTGCTCCCGTAGAACTCGAATACGATAAATTGCACACAATGGAAGCCAGTCACTACATCACATAGTCACCACCTCGGACCTCGATCAAGTCAATGAGTGCTCGGTAGGTGGTTGGCCCTCCTGGCGAGGTCGTTGGTCCGCTCCACCGAGGTGCATACGTCGCATAAGGCCATGCCCTCCTCAGCCCTAGTCGAGGTGATGTTGGGCACTTGCTCTCTCAAAGTGTGTGAGGTGCATCCGAGGTGGTTCCAACTGACTTGGTAAGGATACATGATTGCCAACGTGGCAACGAGGTGTTATGCAACGGTTTAGAAGTGCCATGTGGCACGACGTCACTAGAGGGCCAGATTACCCCTCACCAATATACATTTATATAATTAGGTCGGGCATGGGTTAGGATAAGGTTCATCCACGCTCAGGCCAAATCGGAGCTACCTATGGGCTAGACCAGAAAAATTAAAAAGCCCAAACATTTGGGCCTATTCTTGGCCCCAAGACCAAAAATCCAAATCCAACCCATGTAAAATTGTAGGTTGGAACAATTTGTACTCAACTTGGGCCCGCCTAAGTTACACCCATACTCATTCATGGGGAGATGTTTCTAATGCATGATTGCAATGTATTATGAGATTGGTGTGTGGAGCGCTTTAGATTTTCAGAATTCAAACCCTCCAGCATATGAAAAACGCAAAACCTTTCTTTGACCCTACCCTCTTTCCATTTAAGGGTGGACAAGTCAAGTTGGCGGGTTAAGTCTAGAACCAACATCTAATTTCTATTATACATAAGCAATAAACAAATAAAACAATATAACCAAACATCAAAATTTTAAATTATTTAATTAAACATAAACTATCAATTATCCTTCATATAAAATTTAAAATAATATTAAATTCAACATCAGATACATGAGTTAAATCCATTTTTCAAACAAAATCACCTTCTCTAAGCGATTCATGCCAAATGAGATAAAAATTGGCATCCCTAATTGCAATTTCTTCATTTCTTCTTCTTCTTCTTCTTCTTCTTTTTTTTTTAATTTTAGGAGATCCATATTCATAACGTACTCAATCATCCATCTCAACATGCCTCTACCCCTTCTACTGTTTATTACCATATATATAAAAAGAGAATATAATCGTGATTATCATCTTAGCCTGCCTTATCCCAATTACATGTGATCGGCTACATAAATCATATTTTTCCATTAATATCATATCCATTGATAAATTATTGACGCATATAAAAAGAGAATATTAAATTGTTTAACCCAATATTTGTCAAAGTGAAGAACACTTTATTATTTTTATTCTAATACTCAGCCACTCAAAGCAAGGTCGGCTTTAGGATTTGACTTTTTCATTTTTTTTAATTTAATAAAGATAAAATATGCCTTTTAATGCAATTTTTTAAAGAAAAAACATAAACAATACTAACATGCACCGCATTCAATGGGCGCATGTTAGAACGTAGAACAGGAGAGTGGTGTGGTAGGACCGTAGGAGGCGTAGCACAGACCCGAAAGGTTCTACTTCACCACTTTCCAGCAACGTTACACAATACACACCCAAAAGCCTTCCCAGCATTTGCCAGGTGGACGGTTGAGGCGCCAATCTAATTTGAAGTGGTCATTACCAAACCAATGCCACTCATTTCTCCATAAATTACAATTATACCATTAATAATCTAAAAAGTCAACAACTATAACTAATCACTTAGACAATGCTAAAGAGGCAATGATAAAATACATGGTACAACGTACGAGATACATCTTAATTACCCTAATATAAAATAGAAGTGGGTCCCGGGTATTCGGGTTTTGTACTTGGGTTCAGTGGTAGTACCGAACCAAACCGGGGTAGGCATGCCGGTCCGAATGAACCTCCAGGATTTCATTCAAATATATGTTGATGTCCAAAAATGCCCTTGTGCTTCTTGCCAAATATCCAGAATGTCCCTATTTTTCGTCCCATTATCGTTAATCGCTTAACTATTAAGATAACAAGATTTAAGGAGGAGGAGGAGGAGGAGGAGGAGGACAACGCTGTAATTTCATAAATGGAGCCCACGTTTACTAGCCAACACAACAAAACAAAAAGGAGGGCATAATCGTAATAATAAGGCAAACAAAAGAGTATTTAAGTATGAGCAATGGCTTAAATGCTAAAACAGAGTGTGGGAAATAAGAGAGAGAGAGAGAGGGGTCACGCTGTCGTCCCCGGCGAAAATTCCTGCACAGAAGCAACTCATCTGAGTGTTCTACATAAAGGGGAGGCATTTCTCCCCTCTCAAATCGATCTGAGCATCTGGGTTGTCTACCTCTCTCTACAAAACCCAACAGAAGTTTCAGGAAATCGTGAAAACCAGATAACGGAAAGACAGACAGACACAGAGACAGAGATCTTTCGAGTCATCTCTCTCGGAAACCCAGAGTAATTCCGAGGAACAGAGACAGAATAGTCTTGGTTGGGAAATCAGAATATGGCCTCGGAGTTGATTTACAGAGGCCATGAGACACAACCTCAGGTGGACGCGTATTCTCCGAAGCCCCTGAAGCCATGGTTCGCTGTAACTCGCCCAATTCGCTACATGCTTCGCGAGCAACGTCTCATCTTCGTGCTGGTCGGCATGGCCATCGCCACCCTCGTATTCACGCTGCTGCCTTCCTCACCTCCGAAGGCTGGCCACAACTACTACCCAATACCGGAGACGTATTTCCCGACAGGGGTATCCAATGCACTCAGCCATAGAGTTGGGTTGCAGCACCGCATCCTTGGGACTACGAATCCCGGAGGGAAGATACCGCTGGGGCTGAAAAGGAAGGGGCTGCGGATCGTGGTGACTGGTGGGGCCGGCTTCGTGGGGAGCCACCTGGTGGACCGACTGATCGCGAGGGGAGACAGCGTAATCGTCGTCGATAATTTCTTCACCGGGAGGAAAGAGAACGTAATGCACCATTTTGGGAACCCCAGATTCGAGCTGATACGCCACGACGTGGTGGAACCCCTACTGTTGGAGGTGGATCAGATCTACCATCTGGCATGCCCTGCCTCGCCTGTGCATTACAAGTTCAATCCAGTCAAGACCATCATATCCTTTCATATTCTCTGTATTCGATTGCTTTTTTCTGCTTTTCATTTAAATTTGTTTGATTTTGTTCTCGATTTGGGTTGCTGTTGGCTTTGACTCGTCTGGTGGGTAGAGATTACAAGACGAATGTAGTTGGAACTCTCAACATGCTGGGGCTGGCGAAAAGGGTCGGTGCCCGATTTCTGCTAACGAGTACCAGTGAGGTGTACGGTGATCCTCTGCAGCACCCACAGGTGGAGACTTACTGGGGAAACGTGAATCCCATAGGTGACCTCTCTCTCTCTCTCTCTCTCTCTCTGCTTCATGTCATTCTTGCTAACGTGTGAGGACAAGAACCGGCGCACGTTAGCAAGACCACCGGCGTTCTATTGGTGAGGACGGAGGCGGACGGCCGGGAGAAGGTTAGATCTGGTCGTAAAGTACGCGGTCTTTGATTTGGTTTAATTATGGGGAGCCCGTGATTGACGGGGTTCATCAACCGAAAGGGTCAAAATCTTTCCCCGAAAGAAGAAGGAAAAGAGGAGAGTAGTCTGTGTTTTGTAGGTTTGTTTTCTGGAAACAGACAACATTGGCGTTTCTTCAATATGCCGCGAAAGCGGGAGGCCCTGCGCCGTTAATCTGGGCTGGGGATTTCCTTTTGAGGTTGTTTCCTTTTTTCGAATTAATGGAAAGTGCTGTTTGGGGTGTGTTTGTAATTAGACTCCGAGTATCTGACACACTTTTTTAGCACAGTTCCTTGATTCCTTCTTCATATGAAATCTGACAGCGTCCGAATGGTGGGTTTTTCACTTTTTCTTTTTGTAAATGGTTGGGCGATTTGCAGGTGTTCGGAGTTGTTACGACGAGGGCAAACGCACGGCCGAGACTTTGACCATGGATTACCACAGAGGAGCTAACGTTGAGGTTAGAATTGCTAGGATCTTCAACACGTATGGACCTCGGATGTGCATCGACGATGGTCGCGTCGTCAGTAACTTGGTTGCTCAGGTGATTTTTTTTTTTTTTTCAGGCTATTTGATTTGATTATCTGTTGTTCAAACTTAAAACTTAAAAGGGTTCTACAATTAATAACAATTGCAGGCATTAAGGAAGGAACCATTGACAGTTTACGGTGACGGGAAGCAAACCAGGAGTTTTCAATACGTTTCCGATCTTGTAAGGCCTCTTCGTCTTCAATTCTTCATCCTCCAAATGTTTGTTGGTTTTCCTAAAAGAAAATTTAATTAATTCTAAGTTTTAACTGTTCTGTGAAGTCTTGGGGTACTACTAATAGTTCATTAATGGTGTTTTGGGTCTGAATTAAAAACAAAAAAAAAAAAAAACCACAGGTGGAGGGTCTGATACGGCTGATGGAAGGGGAACATGTAGGGCCATTCAACCTTGGGAATCCCGGGGAGTTCACGATGCTGGAACTTGCCCAGGTGGTACAGGAGACAATAGACCCGAATGCAAAGATAGAGTTCAGGCCCAACACAGAAGACGACCCGCACAAGAGGAAGCCAGACATCTCCAAGGCCAAGGAGCTTCTGGGATGGGAGCCCGTCATCTCGCTGCGCAAGGGTCTTCCCCTCATGGTCTCTGACTTCCGCCAGCGCATCTTTGGCGACCACAAAGATAACATCTCCTCTTCATAATAAAAATATTCAGTCACAGAGAGACCCTATCCTGAACCTGAACTGAATAATTAAAGTTGGAACCTCAGCAGAAGCCTTTCCCCTACAACCCACTTCCTTTTTAATAGTTACAGTGATTTGCTACCTTCCGGCATTTGTTTATCTTCTTTCTGTAATTTTTTTTTCTTCATTGAAAGTTTTAACATGAATCATAGGCAGCGAGTTTAGCAAATGCATGTTCCCTTTTCAAAGTAAATAGAGAAGTAGAAACGACCATTGTTTTTTTTTCTATGCACTAGTGTGAGGCTTGAACTGGAATTTCCACACGAGCTTTTTAGTCTTTTTTTTTTTTTCATTAGTGGATGATCTTCTGGTAAAAGGGGACACGGACGTCTAATCAGTCCATTAACAAATTCGTATCAGATATATCCAAGGCGGCCAATGAACATAATAACTTTAAAAGTTTAAATTTGACTTGTAAATGTCTGGTTCTAAAGCGAATGGCATCACGAGTCAAATATGGAAACGATGAGGTAAAATCTCATCAATCCCATCCAAAAAGAGAGGCGTAAATCTCTTGCAGTTCCTCCCCTACTCCCGACTTGTTCAACCTTGGTCTTTTATTAATGGCATTCATTGCTGTGGGCCTGTGGCAAGTACCTCCTTTATTGAATCATCAATTCAACGCGAATAATAGACCTTTGGAGTTTGGAGAGAAATTATTAGCAGTCAGCACCGGAGCATCGCCTACCCCTATGGTTAATTTTAACTCCCCATGGTTTTTTTTTTTTTACTTAAACAAAAAAAAAAAAAAATAGAGCTGGGAAGCCAATCAAGGCGTCAATATTATCCCCAATTCCCTCAACCCACCATTAGTCATTAGTCATTCATTAGTCGTCATCATCATCATCTAATTATGGATTCAGGCATTCAGCTAGAGATGATGAATCCTGGTCTGCGACTCCAATCCGTCGGAGGTGGCAGAGCACTTCACAACCTATCGTTGTTTGATGAATTGCCAAGAAAGCACAAATACTAGTAGCGGAGAGTGGACATACTACATTTACCAACCCTACGGAACACGAGGGCCTCGAGCGTTAATTGTTTGAACTTTTTGAACCGAATTTACACATGGCAAACAATCCGTACGGTAATAATACTGGTAAGGACGCACGCAACCGCAACCGGTACATTACCGATAAAAAGTTCGGTATCCACCACCCCACCACAATCCAGTGCTACTTCTACTCTCTCCCAAAACAAGAGTTAAAACTTAAATTTCTGAAACAGATACAGCAAGCACTAAAATTTCTGAAACGAACCTGACAAGAGAGAGCCGAAAAAGGTTGTACAACTAAAATTTCCGACCATTACGCGTACTCCTGTCAGATATATTGGAGTTTTTTCAGGAAATAAAAAAAAAAAAAAAGATTCACTCTGGATTAAGTAAACTACACACAAAGGGAATAAAGCCTCTCGGTCTTGCACATGAGAATGAAGTTTAAATTCCCTGGCTCTCTATGCTTTTCTCTCCGCAAAATAGGTTGGAAATATCAGCTTCTACCCATCTATCCACCTGTAATTGGTAATTTCTAAGCTCACCAGAATAACAATACAAGTTCGCATTCTCATGTTTTTCCCTACAAACTACATAACTCATGGTTTTTGAACCGCCACTGACTCGGACGGTTGGACCATTTGGCCCAGGAACTGTCTGGGCAACCGGTTCCATTTTACCCCAAACCCAGTCCCTGACCAAAATCCGTTGAATTGGTCAACGGCCCATTAATCCGGACAGTCGAACTGTCGACTCATTCAACAGTTTTTGGCTATTTTTATTTTTAATTATTTTTTAATTTTATTGTCAGAATGAGCCATCCATTCAAACCAGATGGTCAAACCGTCGACCCAGAAACTAGTGGCCAGAATGATTCCATTTCTGAGTTGTTTTTTTAAACCATGACATAACTAGTGGTACTGTATGTATGTTCAGTCACTGTTGACATGACACAATCACATAACAACAAATCCAAGTTCCCCACTGGCAAATGAAAAGGAATATTATTTTCTGTCATATTTCATATGTGAACAAAAAAATACCTTAAATTGGTTTAAACATCTGAGTATGAGGCTCTATAAGCAACAGAAGTTCATTTTATAAAATCAAAGATCTGTCAGGCTACTTTTGTCGTACTGATGGGGCAAGAACTGCCACCAAAATAATATGGAGGAAAAAAATTTGAACAGCATTGAGATCCTTATCTAGCATTGGTAAAAAAATGTGCACCATCTCTGAGAACAACATAGCATTCCATCAACCTTTTAGTGGACAACTTCCAACAGGGCATTTCATGGAAGCACATTGGGGATCTCACTGGGTCTTAGCAAGTGCTGCTTTACCATGGTAAAACAAGGATCTCAGAAAAAAAAAAAAAAGGAAAATTCCCGATTCCCGATTAGTACCCTGTACTTTGGGCTTAGTGTCACTTTGGTCCCCAAACTTTAAAATGTGACAATTCAGTACCCAAACTTTTAAAACGTAACAATCCAATACCTGCTATTAACTAGCTGACCAGCCGTTAAGTGGGGCATTTGAAAGACACAGATACCCTTCAAGTGTTATTTAATTTTCTTTATCAACAATCTAAACGTTGACAAAAGAAACTAACAGTCTCAAATCCTTGCCTTCTCCATTCAAAAAGGTTGTGATCACGTTTGAGTGGGCATTCTGGTGACCCCAACTTTCTTGAATAGAAGAGGCAAGGATCTGGAACTGTTAATTTTGTCATGTTTGGATGGTTGATAAGGAAAATTAGATGACACTCGAAGGGCATTTTTTGTCTTTTTCAAATGCCACTTAACGGCTGGTTAACAGCTAATTAACAGCAGGTACTGGATTGTCATGTTTTGAAAGTTTGGGTACTGAACTGTCGCATTTTAAAGTTCAGGGACCAAAGTGGCACTAGGCCCAAAGTACAGGATACTAATCAGGAATTTTCACAAAAAAATGAAGAGGAAGGGCAATACCGATAATAGGTAACAACTTTTAGGTTTCAGTGAAGTTAATACAAGAAAACTATTGGATGGCAAACGAAAGAAATAAAGAAAAGATTGTATTTAGGGGGGCTGTTAAATGTACATCTACAGCTACTACCATGCTAGCTGGAGCATATGACAATCTAGATTCACTTGACTATCTAGAAAACTAGTAATGATCTGGAAATGCCTCAGAGCATAGTTACCTCACTTGGGATTCCTCAGAACAATGATAACAGAGTCCCCACGAAGAAACATCTTGCTGATAAATCTGTCCTTGTTGACTGGTTGGGCTTTTTTCTTCCCCTTTCCTGTCTTTGGTACCTGCACCAAAAATTCAGAATGTTTATATTCAGAGAGAGAGAGAGAGAGAGAGGGAGGGAGAGAGAGAGATTTCATAAACAAACCTCAGTCCACATCTCCCTAACATTTTCAAGAACCATGTTGCAGTGCCGATCAAAGGCTCTTACACGGCCAAGAAGTTTCCTATTGTTCCGGCAGTTGATAAGCACCTAAACAGAAAGAACTTAGTATACCATTGGTGCATTCTAAAACTAGCTACCAAGATCACACTAAATCTTACAAATATAAAAATGAACTTCATTCACCTAAGAACCATCAAGGTATATACATGACAGAACAGGAGATTTGAGAATTCCAAGATGAACCAAAGAAGGAAAGAAAATGCCTGACGATGATGGTTAACAAAATATTCGACAAAATAATCAGAGCAACTTTCTTTTCCTTTTGGAGACCAGCAGATACAGCAATATGTAAAGTTACACTAGCTGTAATATCAGACTTATGAGTAGGGGTGGCAAATGGGTGGGTTGGGTTGGATGGTGTGGGTTGAGTACCAACCCACCCATATTGACCCACTAATCCGTTTGGCATCCACGTTTGAGGGTCAGAGTGGGTCACAACCCAGTTTGGCCCTGACCCACCCAATTGACCCTCTACTTCAAATTAAGCCTCTTTTATTATTTTTTTCTCTTCTAATTGCATAAAAACAGAGAACTATAAAAATGCATAAAAACACAAAAAATGGTAAAAAAATATATTTCGTATAAAACCATCAGAAGTTGTAGAAAAAAAAGGAAATAATAAAAATTTTAAATAAAACTATAAAAGAGAAATTGTAAAAAAAACATAGAATATTGCAGAAAAATGCAATAAATTGCAGAAAAAACATATGAAACAAAAAATAAATAACATGTAAAATATAAATGGTACAAAAATAAAGAGAATTGTAGTAGAATACAAAAAATGCAAGAAATTACAGGAAATTTCAGAAAATGCAAAAACATTGTAGAAAAATACAAATTTTGCAAAAATAGAAATTTCATAAAAACAAGAAAAATATGAAAAAAGAAAAAATGCAAATAAATAACCAAAAAAATACAAGAAAGTGTAAAAATTGTAGAGAAAAGAACAAAAGGTATAAAAATGTAGGAAAGTTAAAGAAGCTAATAGAAAGTTTCAAATATATATATAACAAAAGAAAGCATAGAGACAAGGAAAGTCGTAAAAAACATATATTTTATATATTAGCAGAAATTGTAGAAAGATATAGAAAATTATTCAAAAGTTAAATAAAATTATATTTAGAAATCATAAAAAAACATAGAAAATGATAAATTTTCAAAAGAAATTACAGCTAACTAAATAACAGAAATTGCAAACAACAGAGAAAATATTCAAACAAAACATATATTTTAGCCAAAAACTAGAAATTACATAAAATATAAAGATTATTAATAATAAAAAATAAAAAATATAAATTTCAACAAAACAGCAGAACACAGAAAATGTTAGTAAGTATATATTTCTTCTAAAACGGAAATTGAGAAAGGAAAATGCTTGCTGTAAAGCCGCAGGCTTCAATGGCTGTATTGGGCATTCGTCAAAATTTCTTTGCGGGAGGGAGAGATCTTCATCAACAAATGCCATTCGCTGAAAGTTGAAACTAGAACTCAGGGATTTCGGGGCAGCCAAGTCAACAGTTTGGGGTTTTGCTTCAGATCGAAAGGGAAAAGTCTAGAATATTGATTATCATTGTGATTTATCTCCAAAAAGCAGATGTTCCACTCATCTTCAGGTAAAATCGCTCAAGAAACTTTTGAAGGAGGTGCTGTTGTATGAGATTCAGAGCTGAAGCTTCGTCCAACGTTGCCACCATGAGAGAGCTCGCGTTGAAGGTTGAAGAAGCTTTCGAACAAGGCAAAATCGTCAAGGAGCAGAAGCTATTTCATCATCTTTGGAGGTTTGAAGAATAGAAGACCAGAGGTTGAGAGTGAGAGATTCCGCTTTCTCTTTCAGCGGAGGTGGAGAGAGAGAGAGAGAGAGAGAGAGTAAAACTTTAATAAACCCTAGCTAAATCTAATAGATGTCGACCCATGGGTATCCTTGACCCAACCCCACCCTGACCCTAATGGGTCACTTGACCCATATTGACCCACTGCAGGGATGGGTGGGTTATCAAGCAGGTGGGTTGGGTGGGTCAGATGGGTTTGGGTCAAAATTGCCAGCCCTACTTATGAGACACTGGTATTTTAGAAGAGAATAATCAAGCAAATACTACTATACAACAAGCATATCAGAAAACCAACTTGGTAATCAACCATTGAAACTATATTTCTAATTCACATGGTTGTCAAGGCAACGCCTACACGACAAGGTGCCCTTGGAGGCTTGCCTCGCATAATCACCAAGCAGTTTTGTATATTGTGATATAAAATACTTTTATGGTTTTAATTTTCTAAGATTATTTTGAGTGTTTATATACTAATTTCTTTTTATTATTTTCTTATTTGTTAGGGTTTAATCAAAATAGACATTGATGACTGCTGTATTGAACCCTCACAGACAGCTAATTTCTTCTTCTTCTTCCATAACAAAAACACAGGTTCAGCCCCTATATTTTTTTAATTTTCTTTTCTTTCTTCTTTTTCTTCTCGTGAATATGTTGATTTTCCCTACTTTGACATGAAGTTTATACTTTTCTTATGAAAATTATGGACAATTATTAAGGTAGTATGGTTATGGAACCTAGGGAACTACCATAGGATATATGTTTTTTGTTTAAAAAAAATCCATCACCTAGGTGACTAGGCGACAAGGGGCCCCCCTGTCACCTAGCCTCACCTTGGTGCCTTGAAAACTATGCTAATTGATACTTGATAGAGAAGATAGCAACGAATTACCGAGGAGGATGTCATCCATAAAATTATAATGAAGTAGATCAAGTGGAGAGGAGCATCAAGACAATTGTGCAAGGAAAGAATATATTCAGATTGAAAGATAAATTTTGTAGGAAGGCAACAAGACTAGCAATGCTGAGTGCAGCTTAATTTCAGGCAATCAAGAGGCAACATGTCCATAAATGAGTAACACAAAGATAAAGACATGAGATAGAAGGGCAGAAAGCTCATAAAGGAACATCAATTGGTAATAAAATGAGAAGAAATAGGCTAAGATGGTTATGGCATTTGCATATACCATCTATTGCATCTGTAAGAATTGAGTAATTCCATTACCCCCCAAAAAAAGAAAAGAAACAGGATTAAGTAATCCAATATAAGTTGATGGTCATGGTTCTAGGAGAGCTACAGAATGACTGAAAAGTGCATGAATTGAAAGTGGTGAAAACAATCTAAGTATTCACAATTTATCAACAGAGATGCCCCTACATGTTTTGGCTAACTTGTAATTTCTTTTTGGATTCTCCGGGGGAAAGTTAAGTCATTTTATCTCTCCCTGGAGTGTTGTATGTAATCTTGTTTTATTATTAATAATATAAGTTTCTGTTATTGATCCAAAAAAGAGAAGAAGACAAATGTGGCCAACCCCATATAGTTGGGATAAACTTTTAGTGACTTAAATTGAGAATGTGTTATATGAGAACCAATCAACCTGTGTCAGTGCTTCCTGATCTTGTAAATATGATGAAAATAATTGTTGTGGACAGTGTGTCATATCAACCCTGTTTTTACCTGGGTATTGTTCTTAACACTCATCATGAGCACAGAAAGTGGTCCTGTGTTAAATTCCTCTTCCTCATTCTTTACCTGCAAACAAGAAAATTGAATGAAGTATTTGCAAATGTGAATAAGTGATTTAACCTAGTTAACCATTTTCAGGGTGGGTACAATGTACAAGGCAACCCTATTTTGATGGGAAGTGGATGAGATAAATCAAGTTCAAATATAAAGACTAAGACATCTAGGAAATACTTTTTTCTAATATACAATATATATAGTAGTTCTGTACTTGTTATTTATGGTAAATACTTCATTTTCCTACTAAATCACAGCTTGGTACTTTTTAGTAAGTTCTGCATGTGAATAATGAATACTTATTTGAAGTTTTGTTATTGAAATTAGTCCTGTTGAATAAATTTAAAAAAAAAAAAAGGTGAATGTGTTAGGTAACTTTAGATTGCTTCCTTTTTTATGAATTAACTTATTTCCCTTGTTGGTATAGCAAGTAGAAAACAGTAAAAGTGGTCAACCATGAAAAAAAATCAGACATAAAAAGGAGAATTAAAAAATATATATTTAGACTATAAAAAAAATGTTGGGGCGAAACTCTATTATGCTCATGCAAGAGGGAAATACAAATCAGACTATTTAACTTAACATCCAATGAAGCAAGATGGCCAAGTCATAAGAGTAGGATGCCCTGATGGGATTTTAGGGAAAAATCCTTCAGACTCCTCTCGGTTTTATCCTAATCTTTAAACATCCCCTTCAAAGGATTCCACTGTTAACCTTGACGGAACAGGAAACATATCAAGAATACCCTTATAGGGTTTTAGATGTTTGAATCTAAATACCAAAACTGCCCTAGTCATAGGTGAGTCACCTGGTTTTTAACATGGCCAAATTAATGGACTTCACAGTAGATCTAAACCACTCGTGCTGAAGCCAGTCTTGTCCTCTAAATATGTCACCTCTAAAATTTGGGTTCCATGGTAGGCATTTAATCCAAAATTTGATTACTTTTATAAAATTTCAATGGATAGAAATTGTTCGGTGATGTGGTTAAAATGAGTGATATATTAAAGGTAAGTTACAGTAGGCTTCTTGGTCCATTTGATTTAAAGTCAAGTTGAATAGAATCACTATTTGGATTTTATCAAACTTTAATGTCATGTCTGATCATAGTTGTCAAGGCAATACCTAGGCGACAAGGTGCTCATGAAGGGTCGCCTCACTTAATTGCCAAGCTAATTTGTACGAGACACAATGAAATACTTTTATATTCTTAATTTATTTTTAAAAATATAGAAATAAAATATTAAACTAAATTGTTCATTTTGTGGGCTTATATACTAATTTCTTTTCATCATGTTCTTATTTGTTAGGGTTTAATCAACACATATGTTGGTGTATGGTGTCCTGAACCCTCAAAGACTTAAAAAATTCCAGCTTTTCTTTTCTTCTTTTCCTATGAGAAAAACAGGGCTCAGCCCCTATATGTTTTGAATTTTCTTTTCTTTCTTCCTTTTCTTCTTATGAATATGTGGATTTTCTATATTTGAATATAAACTATAAAGTTTATACTTTTTTATGAAAAATATAGATAATTATTAATGAATAATGATTGCTAGTTACTGTGGAACCTAGGGGAACTACCCCAGGTTTCATGTCTTTTATTTAAAAAAGAAAAAACCATTGCCTAGGTGACTAGGCGACAAGGCACCCCCCTGTCGCCTAGCCTTGCCTTGGCGCCTTCAAAACTATGTGTCTGATCATATACTGAAAGCAACTAATGGAAGAATGAGTTGTCCTGCCATGTCAGTCAACAGGGGATGTTAGTGTCCTTTTAGAAAGGTGAGGGGAAGTTTTAATATTTGTTAGAAACTTCAGGGTAGGTTTAAGGATTTTCTCCAATATTTTATTAATCAAAATTAAAATTCATACAAGTATAGTCCATGTACAGTTAGAGGCTACATAATGAAAAATAATGGGATAAGACTTCATTTTGAAGCACAAAATGCAAAAATATAAGTATTTTAGATATTAAGTAACTTGCACCAAAAAACTATTAAAAAACACAAATATCTAAAGACCCACAACTATACCAAAATACAGATTTTATATCAGAAAGTTATTAAAAGTCATTTCTAAGCAACTTACATTGGCATCCTCCTCCATTGGCCGACTGCAAAAAGAGAAGGCATTGTTAATAAGCTTACCCAAATAGCTAATTTGCTATAAACATTTTGCATTTAAAAACAACTAACAAAATTGTTGAGACCTACACAATCCAAGTAGTGCAGTAGAAGATATAAAACTCAGAGAATTGAGGTAAGGGAAAAGTTTTAGTTCATATTAAGCGCACCCATCCTTTTGTTTTTAATAAAATTTTAAGGTAGCGATTCCTCAACCTGGAATACGGCTTAGAGATTAAATATAATTGTACGTATATGTATACATATGCATAAAAGAACTTAAGGAATGGAAAACTATACTAGTTTATACTAGCATAATTTGAGTGTCTTTACCCCAATTAATTTGCAAGAGAGTATTAACATGTTATTAGAGGTGATCATGGGCCGGACCGGGCCTGATTCTGGGCCTATATCTTTTATATATAAATATTACACACACACACACACACAATATTTTATTAATATTGGGATTTTTTGGATTATCCTTTGCGGAGGATGAATTCTAGTTCCAGGTGAAGGAACTCGATGAAGGTGTATGTATCTACCCCTCCTAGGATGCTGCTTAATGGTGTAGTTTGTGGTTATTTCAAGAGTTCAAAGGATCTAAGACAAGGTGACCCTTCGTCCCCCCTTTTAATTTTATAATGGAGGCTTTGGGTAAAATGGTCCTGAGAGCAGTTTTGGGAGGTTTTTTAGAATGTTTCACAGTGGGAGAGGAAAAAGTAGAAATTCTTCTTCTACAGTTTGCAGATGATTCAGTGTTCCTTTGTAATGCATCTCGTGATCAGTTAAGATTATTTGATGGCAACCCTGTGATCGTCTCAGGGTTACATCTAAATGTTCATAAAAGTGAGTTGGTGGCAGTGGGGAGATTCAGGAGCTGCAACAGTGGGCACATTATTGGGGTTTTAAGGTGGGAATATTACCAATCAAGTGTTCGGGAATGCCTTTAGGGGCCAAATGCAATGCAAAATCCATTTTGGAAATGGGAACCAATAGTAGAAAGGGTGGAGAAAAGATTAGCTGTCCGAAGACAAAATACCCTATCTAAAGGGGGCAAGCACACTTTGATTAAGAGTGTATTGTCTTCTCTTCCTGTTTACCTGATGCCCTCATACCCAATTCCAGCAGGTAATGGCATCCTTAATTGAACAAAGAATGACAGAGTTCTTATGGAAAGGTTGAAAGGACACTAAAAAGACTCATTGATAAAGTGGGGAAAGGATCGCAACTCGTAAGCTTAAGAAAAATGGAGGGTTGGGCATAAGAAAGCTAAGAGAATTGAATTTGCTCTTCTAGGCAAGTGGTTTTGGAGGTTTGGCCAACAAGGGAGTAGCCTATGGAAGAGAGTCATCCAAGCAAATGAGGGCTGGGATCCTAGAGAAGCAAATCAATCATATGGTTGCTCAATGTGGAAGGGAATTGAAAAAAGCTACAGTTTTTTAACAAAGGAGTTAAGTTTGAAGTGGGAAGGGGAACCAAAGTAGAGTTCTAGAAAGATGTGCGGTGTGGACATCATTGCCTGTGGATGATTTCCCAGAGCTTTTTGCAATTGTAGTTGATAAAGATGTGTAAGTAGCCGACTATATGCAGATCTCAAATGGTGAGTATTTATGGAATCCCCTTTTTAGAAGATCTCTACAGCTTGCAAATTGACACTACTTTAGAAGATAGAAGACTGTGGCTGGAAGAAAATCTGGGCAATTTACTGTAAAATCTCTCTACAACAAATTAACCCCAGAAGAAGAGGCAGGATTTTCCTATGGGCATAATCTGGTGCAAATATATTACCTCAAAGGTAGCTTTCTTTGTCTGGTCTGCCTACCTGAATAAGATCCTCACTAAGGACAACCTGTTAATTAGAGGAATGATGTTTGATTCAGGTGAAAGTTGTTAAGATATTTGTTCACAAGGGATGCTGCCCAGCATCTATTGAAATCTTTTTGAAAGGCTGGCAGATCAAAGGACTGAGTAAGAAAGGAAATGCAATTTGGAAAATGATTCCATAAGCAGTGTTCTGGGTTGTATGGCAGGAAAGGAATGCAAGGATTTTTCAGAACAAAGTTTGCCAAGCTGAGGCAGTGTGGCAGAAAGTAGTGGGCAAACTGTTCTCTTGGTCAGCAGCTCAGTTCCGTTTGGATAGAACAAGTTATAGCTCTTTTTATTTTGAAAATCCTTTTGTAAACTCAAAAGGGATAGTGGTCTAATTTTCTTTCTGTTTCTCTCTGTTTTTTTTTTTCTTTTGATGAATCTTTTTGTTTCTCTCTGTTGTACATCCTCTGGGTTTTTTTTGAACTGCAAGGTAAAATATTTCATTATAATCAAAAGGTCAAAATACCAATGTTCAGAGAACTAGACCAAGGATAGAACTGGAGAAGGGAGAGGTGTATGGGTCAGAGGTTCAACCAAGATCAAACTGGAGGTCAAACCATGATGATATGGCATATATGTATATATGCTACAAGTTATATAAATACTATATATAATACGTTTTGCAACTTTTAATATACTTAAATATGGTGGATGGATGGCAAATTCCTAAATTTTTAAAACAAATGACCAGGGTTCAAGTCTCATAATTTACATTTTCTTTAAAATACATGTGTAATAAAGTAATATATACAATACAGAGTCATTAAATAACACAAGTAAAGAGGTTGACAATTGGTAATTAAGTAATATATGAAAATAAGAGGTCATGGGTTCAAGTCTTCTCAAACTCATTTTAAAATTTCAAGTAATTAATGGCCCGGGCAATTTCATGAAACTGGTACCGGTTCACCAGTTTTCTGGTTAAACCAGCCAGTTTTCACTGGGTTTTTAGTAAATACAGTTATTGGGGTGTGACTGTACCGGTCAAGGCCTCAGGGTCACGGTTCAACCAGTTTGACTAGCCAATCTGGCCCAATTTTCTAAACACTGCAAAATACAACAAAGCCCTTGTACAATGAGAGACTGAACTGAGGATATACCATTCTGCCCCTTTTTTTTTGAAGAATAAAAGAAAATTTTATTGAAAAATAAAAGCAGATTACAGCACTACAGGGGTGTTAAGATAACACCCGAACCCTCTACCAACCCCAACAAAGCTTACAAAGACACAAGACTAACCAAAGAAGAACTGAGACCCCCCCCCCTCTTCATACAACAAGGCTTTCAAAGATTCAAAACTGACAAAAAGGAAAGATAAAACTGCCCTTCAGACATCGGGTAGTCTTCAGGATCGAACAACTCGTTCAACCCATCATCGTTTTCAAAAGCTTTTCTAGCAAACTCTTCGCCCCCCCCCCCCAAAGAACAGCCCTAAACTCTTGCCGATTTCAACCTCCTTGTCCACCAAAGTCTTAATCTCCACTCCCCCCCCCCTCCTTAACGACTTGTTGAGACAAAGTAGGGCCACTCGCACCAGTTTGATACTTTGATCTCCCCCTTCATTCTTTTCCCCTGACCCTGGCTTAACCTCCGGCCCTTCTTTTGTCAGGGTCGACTTCACCTCCCCTTTTATAGCTTGAATCTCCCCCCCCCCCTTCTTTCATCACCCTTCTTTTTTGCATCTAAACCTCTTAACCTCTTCCTTCCGTACACTCTCTTATATTTGTTAGAAGGACTTGCCCCAATCAAACCATCTTTTAACCTCGAGAAAACCTTAGACACATGAACAAGGCAACACTTGCTTGGCTCTCTGACTTTTTTTTCACTCCTTCTATAGGTCCTACGACACCTTTGTTCACAATTCTCCTCCGCCCTAGATGTACTCCGATCCTACCAGCTGAAATTTTGAACTTCTAAAAATCCTCGCAATCCAGAGAAGAACCAGCTTTTTCGTTCTTATCCAATGCCTCACTCGCAACCTCATTGCCAAATTCAGTAGTCGCACTCTTAGCATTATCCCCTCCACAACCAGCCCTTCCAAACAATCCTTCCTTGTCCTCCCCTTCCCACCTCACTAACTCCTTCACTACTTCCCCAAAAACCACCTCCCTTCCTTCCTTGTGACCGTCTGAGCCTTCTCAATAAACAACAACAAGAGTCCCCTCCTTCAGAGTCCATGTTTTTGTCGAAAATGAAGAGATCTTGACAACAAAGTCACCAAAAGAGATAAACTTACCTGCTTGCTAAATCGAACTTGTCTTCCCCCTCATCCTTTCATCGTTAAGAGGGGGAACACTAGAGCTTCCGCATTGAGCACTCTTCAGAAACACTTCACGACCAGTCTTTGGACTCATACTCCAAAGCCTCTTCCCAGAAAATATAAACTGAAATGTGTGCATAACTTTCGAAGTCACTTAAACTTTCTCTTGTTCAGAACCCTTAAATTGAAATGATGCTTTCGAGAGCACTCTCCAGCATTATTAATGACCTTTGTCTTCAAAGCTTGGACCACAATCAAACCTTCTCCAACTTTTCCTACCTGAGTCGTCTCTTCGTCTTCTAATAATCCAGCCTTTTCCTTTTCTTTCGTCTCCCCAAAACTCTCCTTTCTTCCTACTTCCATGTGTCCCAACCCATTCGCCCCACCAGTTAAGTTCACATGGGCCCCACAACTTTTAATTCTCTTTGGAACTCTACTTACATTGTCCATTATGTGGCCCAAGGTAAAATATATCCCTGATTGCTTTGACTAGAGGATTCCATCTCCCAATTCTGAGATCAGGTTCTCGAAACTTGTTCTGTTCACTCAACAAGATATTACTTGCCAGTTGCCTCCTCCGTGCTTTTGAAGATGAACAAGAAAAAAACCAGCTGTATGCTTCCTAACATGAAAAGGTTTCTCAGGTCGCCACTCAGCAATGACCCACTCTTCGATCTTCTCCACATCTGGGTTGGAGTTAACAAAATGACCAGCTAAACTACAATTCAGCAGCTTAAGACGATCTCTAACTTCTTCATCCGGATTCACTGTCACTTCCTTCCACATCTCTTGAAAACCGTAAGCGTATACAAAGACCCTAAAAGACCAAACATGGTTCAAAGTATCAACAATTCCCAGAACAAAACCATCTACTCCTTACAAAAAGGAAATCAAAATAAAATAAGAATGAAAATGTCCATTTCTAAATAAAGGGTGAACTGCCAACCTTGAATGAGCCATCCCCAGTATTTTGCTTAAGATTACTTCCTTTGAGGTCTAATTCCTTAAAATATTCTACTGTTTCTTTCACACCACACGGCCCAAAAAACTGTTGAGGGAAGTATGCTCCATGCTACCTTTCCAGCCCTACTTAATCCTTCTAGACACCATGTTTCATTGCCTCTATGAATCCCTTCACATCGGCCAGGAAATAGAGCTTAACACCAACCAGCCCTACTTAATTAAAGCACCATACCATCCATGTTCAAAACTTTCAAACTCAAACAAGCTTCAATAGCATAATGTCACTGGATCGCTCCTTATAGAAGCCCTAACCAATACAAACCAAAAAGAGTGAGCAAACGATTCGACTCCAGAAAGAGAAGCCTCTCCAACAACAAACCCCGTTCCTCAATGATAAGATTTTTGGAACCTCGCATGAGCACCCTGTCCATCGAACTTCTTGGGCTCACAACGCCAAGTATCAGCAACAAGTAGTGTTCCGTCGTACCTGACCAAAATATCTTTGATCTCCTTCGACTATTCGTCTACGTACTTCTGGTGGTACGCAACCAATGCTTTGGTGATGCTCTATCAAATTGCATATATCTATGAAATCTGCCCACCACCTCTCACTCAGATTTGCATATCATCACCGGAGAAATAATGCTTAACGAATAGAATAATGGGCTTGAAATCTTTACAACAAAGGATCTCCGACTCCACCAACTCGATCGGATAGCCATTAATCTTGATCAGACCCCTCCCGCGCTTGTAGTAGGTAATGGTAACAGTCGTTTTCTTTCAGCCAAAACATTGAACAAACTCTATTGGTGTGGCCATGGATGTGCTTCTTCCCTATTGCTTTTACCTCTCTCTCTTACCTATGCTCCTTCCTCTCCTCACTAAACCCTAACCCCATTCTTATTTGTAGATACTTCAAACAGATCAGGAAATATTGTCTTCAAAGGACCTTCTTCACACCAGTGGTCCTTCCATAAGAGAACCCTTCGGCCATTTCCCACTAATATATTTTTGCACCCTTCAAAAACTAAGGTTGTATTTTCTGAATTGCCTTCCAAATTGAACATCCATAGAATGATTTGACCTATTATGTTTCCCACTCCTTGCTACTAACCCATACTTGGCTACAATTAACCTTCTCCACAGGATATTTGACTGCTCATTAAATCTCCATAACCATTTTCCAAGCAATGCAGTGTTTACATCTTTCACTAATCCAATCCCTAGATCCCCCTTAGCTTTGGGGCAGCAAATTTTCTTCCAATTACCAAGTGACATTTTGATTCCTCCTTCCATCCCCTCCACAAAAAGTCCCTCATCTTTTTTCCAACACTACAGCCCACTTAGCCAAAATAGGGAATATAAATAGGCAAAACACAGGAAAGGAGGACAGCACACTTTTAATTAAAGTGACTTTGCCCCCTTTGTACAGTGTCTGGTTGTACAAAGGTTTTTTTCTTTTATAATGAAATCATACTTTTTCTCTTCTCAAAAAAAAAATATTAAATGGCATATAGTATGCATATAAATTTATTTTATACATTATATAATACAGAATTTTTTATGAATATATAATACAGAATATTATACAATTATATTGTGTCATATTATAATAGTTATATATAAAATAATAATATAACATATAATAACATATGTACATTATGCATAAAATACATATATTTAAATATATGCAAGTTAGGCATGGCACAGGTTTGAAGTATTAGACCCAGGCCTAGCCCTAAAATTTGCAGGCCCAGGTAGTGTTTTAAAAGTGCAAGGGGCCTTTTGTGCTCAAGGCATGAGGCACAGGGTGAGGTGTGAGCCTTTTTGAAACGAGGCGCAAAAATGCAAAAATAAATAAATAAAATTATTAAAATTCAAAAAAAGGCAAGAAAAATAAAAATGCAAAAAATTAAAAAACATTAAATATGATATTTATTAAAAATATAAACTAAATTTTCAAAATAAATGTTTAAAAAACTATTATCTCAAGTTAAAATTTATAAACATAACATGTAAAAAATATTTAAAGTGAAAATTTAAAAATAAAATCAAGCATAGCATATAAAACACATTCAAGCATGTAAAACTATCAATCTCTTTATTTTTCCCCTATTGCATTACTTCAAATAGCTAATGTGATGTTAAACATTATGCATTCCCGATTCTACGAGCTACCTTTGTATCTATTCCCTTGAGGCAAGCCCGAACAAGTCCATATTAGGGTCTTAAATTCTTAATCAATATAAAAAATATTTTATAATTTTAATTGTCTTGTTGGTGCTGACTCCCTGTGAGTGTTATCCTCTTTTATCTTCTTTGTACTTCATCCTTGCTGTGTTAACTTTACTTCTACTCTTATAACACTCAGCCCAGCAACCACAAATATAAGCTATAACCCATTGCTACTTCCTTTCTTCTTCATAATCCAGTCCCCTGAGTTCAACACCTATGCCTTCTCCTGTTTCCAGAATTTTTTCCCTTTAGTTTTCTCTGTTCAGATGTGAAAACAGAAAAGTCCCTTGCTGATCCGCTACGTACCTGAGAATTTCATCCAAGTCCAAACACCTAACCTGTTCCCAGCCACCTTAAATCCTTATTAATTTTATGTTCAGACCTACTGTCAACATCCAAGCTCATTCCAAGTCTGAAAAGGTAAATTTTCCTACATGTCTGGCATCATGAAGTATCCTTGTCAAATATGCATCAGATTCTGACATTCCATGAATTCTTGATTAACACTTCTATGAAATATTTCCCTTAATTATGCTTAAAAACAAATTCCCACCCAAAAGAAAACAGGAGTCCAAGTTATATCTATTAGAAGCACTTACTTAGGTTAATAGGCTAATAGGTTAATATTAAATAAAAGGCAAAATTCAATAACCAAAAACAATAGATTAAACAATAGCTTCTAAGAGGTACCTCCCCAGCATCTTCAGGGGAACCTTCCGTTCTTTCCACATGGGATTGCCACACACGCGCACATACATTATTCACTTTCCCACTTATTTCATAATAGGGATAGAGAGAGATATTAGTGCTCTATAATGCTGAACAAAAGTCGACACAATCATTTGATGAGTTCAGAAATGGTAAATAAATCTAATGGTTCTGCATGTAAACCTAAGTAAGCGAACGATGGAAACTAAGTTATTTGCTTTCCCACTTATTTCATAATATAGTTCTTGGCTTCCTGCAACTCGACTTCCACGCTTAAAACAGTAACATTGTCCTTCCTTCCAATTTTACCGCCATGCTTGTATGATTAGCGTCAACCGTCACTGAAACAACCCTACCTTGCCATTTTAATCCTTGCCTTTCTACATCCAAACGGTTTTCATTAACACTATTTTATTCTGTGAATAATTCATTTATTCGTCATAGTAGTTCCGCGCAACTGCAGCTGTAAACAAACATTTCTTTCGGCGCATAATCTGTCTTAGTGGTAAAGGTTTCCTTAGGAAAAACATTCATAAAATTAAAAAAAAAAAAAATAGTTTCTTTAGGAAAAACAATCAAACCATCAAGTGCAGCTACAAACATTCTACCCAAACATGCTAAGAAATTAAGATAATCTAGGAGATACCTCATCTTGAATCGAACTAGGAAATTGCGAGCAGCTGAGATTCTTCTAAGGATTTGTTCGAAAACTGCGAAACAACGAGTGAAATAAAACTAGTACCATACACAAATTAGGGTTTCTGGTAAGCAGAAAAGGAGAGTCTAAAGTGGAACTTGTGAAAGATCTTACCAGTGAATCAGCGATGAGTTTAGTATTCAGATCTCCTCTCGCGCTATTGCCAACAACGAAAAATGAAGGGAAAAAAAGTACGGACGGGCACAATGCAGACTTGTGAATTCTATGCAACATTCAAAATGTCAAAAACCCTCGCTCTATACACCAATTATGTAATTTATGCCTAGTGTGTAGTTACTAATCAGTCATTAGGTATCATTTGAAAAATTTATAAATACCCTTTGAGTGTCATCTAATTTTTTTTATAAATCATCTAAAATTGATAAAAAATTAATAGCCCCAAATGCCCATTGAGACATGACCCTAACGTTATAGAATAGAAAAAGTAAGTTGTGTTTGGTTGCAATGCAAATACAAATATATACATTACATATTTACCCATTTTTCGGTTCATGAATACAAACAAGTTTCATATTTTAAACCATTTTTGCATTCATCTTGTTTGTTTGAAATCGGTGCAAAAGTGTGGGCCCATCATTAAATGCTCCAACTATCTTATGCCCCAATGCATTAACTTTGGTCTAAAAAGTTATTTATCAAAAAACACAAAATTGTATCAAAAAAATAGGTATAGTATTGTTCACTTCTTAGAGTACAAAACTGTCAAAAAATACATTTTTACTTTGATAATCATTACGTTTTTATGTTTCAAACAACCGCTCGTAAATGCGAACCGGGGTACATAAATACCTCGGTTTGGCGTTTGTATCACAAATAAATGGAGCAGTAAGGATATGGGACTGTTAATTTTTTGTCAAATGCCACTTAGTAGCTGGTTAACAGATAATTAACTATATATATTGATGACCTATTTCATTTAAAAGAATTAACCATCTATTTAAATTATAAAATTGAATTAAGTATGTTAATATGAGAGATAAAATTGAATTAAATAGGTTAATATGAATCTCGCATCATTTGAAGTGGGTATTAAAAAAGTATTTTTTAAAGTGGAGTTAACTGCTCCATTGTTTCTAATAATGGAAAAGCACTACTCTTTGGATGCTATTTCTTGAGTAATAGGCTAGATAAAACTTTTTTGTTTTTTTTTTTTTTTGATTAAACATATCTAACAAGAGGAGGTCCCATGTTGCATATTGTTTGCTAATAACATTGCTTTAATTGATAAAACTGATGAAAGAATAAATGCAACTTTTTAACTTCATAAACAAATACTTTAGAGTTTAGAAACAAGAGGTTCTAAAATAAAGTAGGACTAAAATAGGACATGTGAATGATAGCACGCTTACAATTGGAAACCAAGAGATAACTCATTGTGTCGTGATATTTGGATTCAACAATACATGACATTGTAAAGGTGCAACTTGGGAGGGATTGGTTTGGGCTTTTTGTCAAAATTTGAATGGGCCCAGCCCAAGGCCCAAGCCTAAAGCAATGTAAAATGCTAACTAAGAGGATGTCACCTATAGAATTAAAGAATGATGGGCAAATTTATAAAAGAATGCATCACTTATATTGAAATACTAATTTTACAAAAAGAGTTGCGATGTCATTTGTGTTGTATGGGAGCAAAACATTGAACAATCAATAAAACAACATATTCAAAAATACACATGGCAAAAAATGCCTATACTACAATGGATGAGTGGAAAACAATAAAGGACGGGTCATAAATAAATTCATTCGAAGGGACATATAATAGCTGTGTAATAGGTGTTACGTGGTAAAATGAGAAAAAAAAAAGTTGAGTGTCGAAACAAAATCTGTGTGATAGAAAGGCAAATGAAGGTAGTTTTGGGTGAAATTTTATAGGTAGGGATTTTAGGATGTCTAGAAATTAATGGTGATGTCTCATTGGTTGGGAGTCACAACTATGGAATTTTGGGTCAATGAGGGAGTCTAAGATAAAATATTGGTTTAATGAGATGGTAAATGGATGAATATTGGATTGAAATTTCATGGGCAAATGTTTTGGTGTGTCTATAGTTCAATGGCGTATTTTGATTTGTTTAGATGTATTATGATCAAAGGAATCTGGATTGTGGATGTTTTAGGCTAATAGGAGGATTCAAAATGGAATCTTTGCTTAATGAATAGATAAATGAAGGAATCTTAGATTGAAAAATTATGGGGAAGTATTTTAAGATGTCTTGGGTCTGATGATGTTTTCTTATCTAGTGGTCGAGGTGTTAATGGGGGTTCGGGGCCATTAGATTGATATCGATCATATTTAGTGGTGAATCTAGTGCTTTTGGGGATGAAAGTTGGGTTATTTAGGTTTTTCGATGTTTCAAAAAAATCGGAAAGGTCTGATAGGGTGTTTGGGGTGAATTGGGGTTTAGGTGATCGAGAAAAATCAAGTACTGACAATCATGTACATGGAAGATCCTTGACAACACCCATAAGAAGAAACAACCAGTTGCAAATTGAAAAGGCTAGAAAGGCATGGGGGTATACCAAAAAGGACATGGATTGAAGTAGTAAGAAGCAACTCAAGTGTTCTTAATTTAATAATGTACACGCCTTTAAATAGAGTGAAATGAAAAAAAAGAAGAAAAAAAGGACTTCTTGTAGCTGGCTGAATAGAGTGGGGATAAAGCTTGGATGATGATGATTGCTAATTTTCCATGGTATAACTATCATGTATTGATGTATCCACACCCCCATCCCCAACATACCACTTGTCATATGTTTCAAGCATTTTAGTCCATTGTTAAATTGGTCCTCCCTCTTAATTTGTTCGATCAGCTTTTCATACTCATGCAATAAATAAATAATAAAAAAAACTTATAATCACCATGCTTGGGTGATGTAAAAGTGTTTTCTTAATTTGATTCCCAATTCACTAGTAAGAACAATGTTGATTTCTAGTATAAATGGGGCCCTTTCAACAATGTTCATAATTCTCAAAACTAGTACAGGTGGAAATTCATGGGCCCTCAGACCCATCCATGGGTTCTATATCCATACACAAGGGACTCTCAATTGTCCCCAAACTTTAAAAATACAACAATCCAGTATTCGAACTTTCAAAATGTGACAATCTAGTACCTACCGTTAATCAGCCATTAAGTGACATTTGAAAAATCAAAAACATCCTTCAAAAGCCATCTAATTCTCTTTATCAACCATTCAAACATTGACAACAAAATGAACAGTCCCAAATTTTATATTCTTCTAAACAGTCACCAATTTTTTTAAATAGAAGAGGCTAGGATTTGGGACTGTTCAATTTTTTTTTTTGCAGGTACTGGATTGTCATATTTTGAGAGTTTGAGTACTAGATTGTCGCATTTTAAAGTTTGAGGACCAAATTGTCACTCGAGCCAAATTATAAGGTACTTATCAAGAATTTTTCCAAAATATAAATATGTATAATACAAATACATACAAAATAATACTAAATACAAAGTTTTACACTCTACAAATATATATTTATATTTATACTCCTTCCAAACTGAGCCTAGTAGAGTTGCAACTTGGGCAGCCTGAGTGCTTGAGATCGAGCATGTGTTATGTTAAAATATGAATGGGCCTGGCTCAATTGTTCGGGCCCAATGCAGTTCAAATTCTTTTAAATCATGTTCCCACCTTGTACCTCTACTACCTAATGCTTTTGTCTCTGTTCTTCAACTACTTTGGATCAACTTTTCCTGTTCCAGCAGGTCCTGAGGGTTTAAACACAGGCTCCATGTCAACAGGGGCATGTGTCATTTCTGTGAAGAATGATTTAAGCTGCAACTTTTCCAGCACAAATAAATGACAGAAGGTTGCACTTTGCTGTCAAGTCTAGTCAAACTGAAGTCTCCTTTTATATACCAATCTCCACAATTTGACCGGATTTGATCCAATCCGATCCAGTCCAGTATGAGCTCAATATAGATGGACCAGGTCTAATTGGACCAGATTTGATCAATTCGATCTGGTTCAATATAGATGGACCAGGTTCAATTCAATCTGATAAATATTATGGACCATTTTGGACCAGTCCAATTCAATGTATGGACTGTCCAATCTGTTCAAATTGATTGCGACTTAAGCATGGTCCATTGACACCTATACTCTTATCTTTTATCAATGAACCAAATATTGATTCAATATGATCCAATCAAATATAAATTCATTACGAATGGACTATGTCTAATCCAATCTAAGGACCATTAACTATGAACTGGTTCAATTTAATATGTTTTAGTGATCCATCCAATCCGTTCAAATTGATTTTGATTTGAAATGATCCAACCCAAAACCGGCACTTGATATTTAATACCCCTAGACGCAAAAATATGGAAGGGGACTGCCGGGAACAATTTGTTAGGCACAATTGCTCACTAGGGTTTTATTCTACATTTTTTTTTTTGAAAACATATGTTTTTTATAGTGTTTAATATGCTTGGCCTGGGCTATGTGATTTTATCTAAATACCAATAAAAAATTGACAATATCAAGATGCCATCTCATTTGTTCTAGATTATGCAATGAATCCATGTTTAACAAAATTTGACAGAAATGAATTTATCCATTGCAACGCCTACAGGAGAGAAGTGGAACTCAAAGCCATAATTAAAGGACTCGAAGCTTTTTGTATATGTTAACAAATGCTGTAATGGGCTTGCACAATCCCTTGCTAAACGAGGTTTGCAGGATCAGAGCAACTTCTTGTTCAGTTGTCTTGAATGGATCCAGTCTTTGTCTTCATCTGATCTTCAAACCAAGATTGATTGGTTATCATTTTGTGTGTGAATAATTGGGAAAATCTCCTCATCAATGGCACAATACAAATTAGGGATGCAATTCAGGATGGGCTTTTGATAATTTTGAATGGACCGGGCCCAAAGACCTGTTTTTGAAGTAGTATAAAATGTTAATTCGGGTCAACCCAAATGGCACCTCTTAATAAGTATATGAAATGTTCCTACAGATCTGGTTCCCTTAGAAAAGCTGCTAAAAGAAGCTTTTGCAAAATGCCATACTTTTGGTTTTAAGATAATTATAATTATTTCGGGCTTTTTGGGGTTTTCATGAAACATCGTTTGATGCTACACGATTTGGGCATTCCTAGCTGGCTGTGACCTGGCTTCTGACTGGAACGAACGGCATTTGAGAGGAAGGAGGAAGTGAAGGGTTCCCGGGGAGATATCCCGGTGGGAACACTCCGATGGCTAAGTTAAAACTGAAGGACATCTCAAAAAGAGTAGAG